AGTAGATGTTTAGTTGACCTATGTATGAAGTTAAGGGCAACAAGCAAAATGCAAACTCGCAAGTCGGCGATCGTATCGCAAAGCGAATTGGTCTGTCATATAAAATAATTTACGGACCTTTATTAGGATACGCCTCTTTGTATATTTATTACTCCAATCGGTCATAAATCGCCAATGAAATATATCTACAAGTGTATTTCATTGTGTAAATGACTATTAGCCCTGAATAACATTATTTTATGGAGCCATCATTTGTAACGATATAGAAAAAGATGGCAATATCTTTAATATCCGTCTTTACTGTATTACTCCATTTATTTAATTCTATATTTCATGTAATAATAACAATAGGTCTTAATGCCTTTTTGTCATTATCATTACAAAAACCACATAATTTTTGCAAAATATTTAAACTTTAAACATAAAAATAATAATAATCATAGAAGAAACTGACAAGTTTAATTTTGGTATTGGTTACTGTTAAATTTACTGGAATCCTGACATTCGTATTGTATTCAGCTTGGAATAAAGTGTAAAATGTAAGAATGAAACATTAATTTGTAGATAACAAAGGCACAATTCTTTTTTTGTTTACGTAGTGATAGGTATGAGTGAAATATAATTGAAAATTTACAAAATAGAAAGAGGACTGTTTGACTACATGAAAAAAGATAGAATTATGTACTTATTCATGAGTTGGTAATGTCATGTTTATCTGTTTTATATCAGAATGGCATGCCAGACATAAAGACGCCGATACAGAGATCAGCATGACTTCATTTTTAAACGCAATTCCTATTATTAAATTTATACTACATCCTTTGTTTATGCCGTCAAGTCACTGTTATTAATTACGCTGTGACGTTACCTTATATCGCTGTTTTAGAGGATTTGACACTTTTTACGATACGATAATATTGTTTCCAAGAAAGTTGTATACCACAGTAACGTTAGATCAAAAATTTTATACAACAAAAGTGGACCTGATAAGATTTTTATTGATTTAGTATCCCAAGAGTAAAAACGAATTTTTCATTACTTTACTTTTTTTTTCTTTAACAATTGTGTGCCTTGACCGTTGAAGGGTACACAAGGGTACAAAACCAGGTGCTATATGACACCATTGCACCAATCTGTCGTCAGAACCGTTACCCACTGACGATGGAAAATTTGCCACTTGGAAAACGTTGATTGAAAAACCAGTCAAATGTAGGCTTGATAAAGTTGCGTTTACACGTAATTTTACACGTAATTGTGTTTACATGTAATGTTATATCTGTTGAAACTTGTAACATAGGTATGTTTGTTAAACGAGAAAATAGTCCATTTTAGGCGGTTGTTGATTGTGCAACACATTTATCAGCATTGACAATGCTGACTTCTGCTCTCTTCTTTATGGAGCGTCAAATCGACCACCGGTCTAACATAAAATAGATGTACAGACGGACTTCTATCAATGATTAGAAGTCGGCCTGTACTGGAAATATTTTTTATACGGTTTGTTTCAGGCTCGCCTATACAAAAGTATTATTCAAAAACGCAGCTTTATCAAGCCGTCGTGTACCCTTCAACGGCCAAGTTACACAACATTAACTATAATAATAAAGAAATCGCAGTAAGGAACCTTAGACTTAGCGCGACTTTGTCTAGATTTCATTACTTTTTAGAGATAAACAAGCAGCTCCATCGAGTCTTGGCTAGTTTTTTACAGAATGGTTTTTGGTCGGATAATCTTTAAGTTATATAATGAACTTTTTGATAACATAAATATCATAGAAAAATAATAATTAAATTCTGTTTTCCTTTTCGCGAAATTCCTAATTAACAAAAAAAAAGTATTCGTAGCGCTGGCAGGCATTGTCCCTTTGTTGTAGTGTTTATTTTGCTTGTAAAGAATTATTTTTCGTAGTACCTACGTATTCGTACGTCATGAAAGACATCTTTCTTTCACTTGCATGCTCTGTTGTTCCGCTCTTGTTCCGCATCGCTTCGGGTGTGCTTGACCCGTGATCTCACCCATTGCTCACTGATGATGACCAAGCGATGCTGACTTCACCACTGCGAAACGGACATTAACTTCGCGCTAATGAACATAATCGAAGTCGTTTGTATTCCACCAATAAATAAATGTGACATGACGAGAATATTGATTTGATATAGTGTGTTGTGTAATAAAAAAACAGTAATCGTTCACTAGTTAACTACTGTTAGTTTATAACATGCCACTTTCAGAAGTTGAGGTCGCCTTGTCACGGGTTGATGTGATGATGACGAGGAATTCAAAGCGTGATTTCAGCCAAAATGTGGAAACTATGTAGGTTAGTTAAACGTCCTGAGAAGTTATTTGTGATCATTGAGTCATAAGATGTATTGACAGAATACAAGTTAGGTCCATAGTTTTTATACAATAAAGCTAACAAATGTGTATATTGCACCTGGTGATCGTAGCTATAATATTATTATGCTGCATTCAGATGCGATTCAAAATATAATTTAGAAAACGTGTAATGGAATTGCCACTGTGTACTTCTATCTACGCAGTAATAACAATTCAATCTAAAAAAATATGTTTCTTCTTCTGATTACTCATGGCTTTTTCCTAATTGGTACGGACTTTTGTGCGAGCGTACCACATTGTTCTGTTTACAAACACGATATATACTCTGCAAATAAATCTTCGATGCTCTATGTAGATTACTACTTCGTTGTACTATCTACGCTTTATCTCGTTGTTCGTCTATTTTTATTTCTCTATGAACCGGTTGATTAATACGTACCTACGTAACGACTCATAAAGCGGTTCCTTAATTGTCTTTGTTCGCAGGCGGTCGTTTATCTTTGTAACTAGCGTTACTTAGGATATAATCGGGATTAACCTGCAATCCTTTTTTATTGCAGCTAATTCCATTGCATTCGTAGCTTGTTTTGTGACCCACATTAACACTCAGTTTTACACTAGTTTTACGGCAATGTACTGAATCGTCTCTAAATTTTTGTGAGCTGCCGACCTGTGTAGACCTTGTGCCTGCGAGTGTCTTAGCGTCAGCCGTATTTATCTGTGAGTTCATGAGTTCCATTCCACGTCGAGTCGATTTACAAAACGATCTCTCTTGTCTCGAGTCTTGTTTGTTATACAATCTACTAATACCTTAGAACAATATTAAAGCAAAGCAATGGAGGTGCTTTTTTATGATAAATAAATATAAATATGGGTTATTAAACAACAGCAAATGCCTTAATTTTTGATATGATAACTATTGTGCTTGGATCCAAGCAATTAATATTAAAGAAATCATCATCATCCATCAACAGCCTATCATGTCCACTGCTGGACATAGGCCTCTCCAAATGCACGCCATTCAGATCGATTTTGCGCAAATCGTCACTCCATCGTGCCTGAGGACGTCCTACACTACGTTTGCCTAGACGCGGTCTCCACTCCAGAATTCGTCTACCCCAACGGTTATCGGTTCTTCGGCAAATATGGCCAGCCCACTGCCACTTCAACTTGCTAATCCGGTGGGCTATGTAGATAACTCTGGTTCTCTGTCGGATTACCTCATTTCTGATGCGATTTTTCAGAGAAACGCCGAACATAGCCCTTTCCATAGCGCGCTGAGCGACTTTGAACCTGTGGACCAGCCGTGCCGTCAGTATCCACGTCTCGGCTCCGTATGTCATCACAGGTAGGACGCACTGATTGAAGACTTTCGTCTTTAGGCACTGTGGGATCGACGATGTCAGGACTTGACGTAGCTTCCCAAACGCTGCCCAACCCAGCTGAACTCTTCTATTCACCTCGTCCTCAAAGTTGTTTCTACCTAACTGCAATGTCTGCCCGAGGTATACATATTTTTGAATAACTTCGAGAACGGCACCGTGTATTGCAATCGGTTCCGGTAGAACATGTTCATTGAACATGACCTTGGTTTTATCCAAGTTCATCCGTAGGCCGATGCGTATAGAAGAGTCAGCCAGGTCATTCAACATCTGTTGCAGGTCCTGCAGGGTTTCTGCCATGATGACGATTCAGATCCTGCCTTGCACAGGTCTTTGCTGATGGCTGGGGATGCCCATGCAGGGCATCCCCAACACTCTCCTCTTCCGGGGGGAGAGGGATGTGTCCGTTTGACTCAGATGCTCACTGGTGAGGTCGCGGAAGATTCCGTAAGGGTTCCCGTGACCTCATCTAGTGCCGTTGTCTCAACCACGCTGGTTGGGACCGTGGACCGTGTGAGGTGTGGGGCATCGTCAGGTTTTTAGTGGGTAGGGCCCCCCCTTCCTGGGCGTTCGCTGAGCTAGTCCCAGGACTGGCTGAGCGGACGGGCAGGACGGGTCGGGAGGTGTCCCACATAACCCCGTTGCCACTCCCAGGTGGCGGGGTATGCGTCATGCATTTTCCTGACGAAAAAAAAATAAAAATAAAAAAAGGGTCAGTCTTTTGTGGTGGCCTCCCGTAGCCCGGAGATTCTTGGCACCCCCCGCCCCACCGTTACCGTGGTCGCCACCGTGACCAGGAATAGCGGGGTTGCCGGGAACTGGGGGCCGTGGCTTGTGTTTCATGTGCATGAAGGTTTTGCCCATAATCATATTAAAGAAATCCTTTATATTAATTAAGGCAGAAAAAAGTAGCCATTTACTCAATTCTTAAATTTCAGAATTCGTCAGTGAATAATCTTAGAATTGATTTACTGTATAAACAGAGAGGATTCACAAATGGCTGTTGGCGATGTTAGGTACCAAAAACTACAAAACTTTATTATGCCAAGAAGACCAAGCCTTTAGCGTTATGTGATGAAATAAAACTAGATTTGAAATGTTCAAACAGTAGGACTTCCGTAGTTTTTTTTATTAATGTTTTTATATTGTCTTTTTATCTTAAGCATGAAACTTCTCTATTCATAAATCTAAAGAGAATTTTTGACTAAAAAAATCCACTCGGTCCAATTATTAAGAAACTTCTTAATGTATTTTTTTTTAATTTTGTTTTGTCTTTGCAGTGTTCGAAATGTTGGTATGCGCGCGTCAGTGTGCGCGACGCAAGTCGTTCACGCTCACATTTGGCGAGTTCTGCGTGTTTGCTGCCGAATTGAGACGATGTTCACGACAGGCCAGACAGTAAGTATAAAACCTTTGACATAATCATCAGCGTATGTCTCACATAGTTTTCCATATAGGGAGAACAAGCCGTTTTTACTTACCACGTGCGGTTTCATTATTGCCATACGTTAAAGATAGATTTGGAAACGGAAATAAAGACGAAAATAACAAAAATAATATAAAAGAAATCATACAAAATTCTAAAATTAGATTAAATTTTTTATCGTTTACAGTAAAATTAGTAAAAATTGTACCGGAACGAAACAAAACCTCATAATATTTTCAATGAATTAATTTAAAATATAATAACATAACTTAAATCAAACAAAAGTCTGAAGAATAAGTATACAAAAAAAAGACAGATGCAAATACCGCCCGACCTAGTCGTTTAACGTGCATCTTTTGCAAAAGCATTTGAACCCTTATGAGGTCTTAGTTTTCCACCGTTGCAGAATTAACGATATCATCTCATCATAATAATCAGTCGATGGGCGCCCACTACTGGACAAAGGCCTCCTCAAGGGATTTCCAAACACAACTGCCATGCACTTTCCGCATCCAGTGGGTAAATCACGATAAATTGCATTTATTTTTACAATATCTACTTTATAGTCTTTATACAATGCAAATTATAGAGCTACTAATTTTTGGTTCAGATTCTCCTGAAATTCGTGTTTCGTTTTGTTATATTTCCAATATTTATTCATTTATCTTAAATTCTCAATGTTATTGTGTCTCAAAATTCGATTATCGATTGGTTGTCTACGTGACAGCGGCGATCAGTTTATTTATAAATATTATTTTTAGTGACGAAAGGAATAATTTCTTTGGCACTTATGCCTAGGTACGCCCATACCCATATACATGCACATTATTATTGGTGTGAAGGAATAATATTCATGTGTTCTTTTTAATATTGATAGATGTTTCTCAGCTCATATATTCGTCAGATTTATTAATAAAGATTGCCTTTATTAATAAAGATCTTATTCATAAGCAATTAAAGTAAAAGATAATGTTGATTAGAGTTGTACATCAAATTTTGTAGTAACAGCTTTATAAAAAACAGCTGTGTATTAATTATTTTCTCTATTTAAGTGTACTTGGATGAAAAACATATATTTCATCCCTAGCTGCAAAATCCTTAATACTTCGCACGAAGAAGCAATCAAATAAAAATATAATACAAAAAAATACGACTGTTCCGTCGATGACTAAAGAAATCATAAAAATATTTTAAAAAGGGATTGTAGTTTATACCTTTATCCGTTTTTTTTATTGTATTCTAATCTTTAGTTGAAAATAGGATAGCAGTAATTAGATACAACATCTGAAAAGTGTGTATCACGGCCACTTGCTATAAATTGTTAACTTACTCTACATCAGACACATTCAATTCAAACCTTATTCTTAACCTATTATTACAAATTATATCTTGATATTAACATCGCCATGCACGATGTACTTGACGCCTAGAACGTGCCCTCAATATCATGACTTCGTGACGTCGGTTACGTCAGACCTTCATAACAATCCGGGAAGCAATCTATTTTTTTTTTGTTTTACCATTTAATTTCAATTCAACTACGGCTTCTATAGCCTGAATGTTTTCGATGACCGTAATCACTGTTACCTAAAGATTGTTTATGCACAATCACAACGACTGACATGTAATGCTCAAGAACACGTAAATAACTCGACTCGACAGGCTAGACGTTTATATTGTCAAATGTCCCTCCTACACATATTTATTATGAATATATTGGAGCATTGTGAGGTACTCGTTATAACACGTAAAGGCAACAAGCTTTTAGTCGTGCAATATATTGTTCGTGTCATGAATTCATTTTAATTTTGTCGATGACGTGGTGACACCGCTTACCCGCTCTTGAACCGAGGAGTGCTGCTGCTGCCGCAACTGATGACGCGAGCATTGACCCTTGAAAGCCACACAAGAAATATTTAATCATTATTATGACTGCGTACATGCATTTTATCGTGTTCCCAAATAAAACTTTGAATTGTCTTCCCATTTTCTCCACCGCATTCACTTTCCAGGCAACGAATGGTGCATATTTTAGTTCCATTTTTCGTTCGCAGGACTCCAAACAAACCGGAATCGCCACAGTGGAACGTAGATAAAGAACTCCGCGAGAAAGACAACAAACATGTCAACGGTAAGCAAATTAATACTTTCATGACGGAAAACCTAAACTTCATATGTTAGTTACATATTTTTTTGATAATAAATTTTTCATGGCCTCCTTATGTCTGTGTGAGACTCGTTGTAGTGAAGTTTGCTTTTATGCCAGTATGTTAGTGCCGCCCTTGTCTGCTGTGTGGACGAAATCGAAAAGTTTTCATTAAATTCGCAGTGAGGAAGGTCAATCACAGACAGCGTCCCGCAATCCGCAATCAAACAAATCATGACTAAATTTTCCGCACGGTACCAATCCAGAAATACACGGCGGTCCCAGCGGCCACAATGCGCTTACAGCTTTACACACCTTCGTTGCTCTTCACGTGATGATTAGCGCTTATGTCATCAATAAATTCAATAACATTATGTCTTCTGCTGTATCTAGAGTCTATTTTATAATTTCTTCATTCAAAAGTAGATAATTTTATTACTGGGATGAAACTGAGATATTTTCGAAATATCTGCAGTTGAACTACATATAGCTGATATTTATCTACAGTGAATTTCAAATACGTAAACCCTTTGTAAAAAACGAGCACTCTCATTAGATTATTTTCTCTTTATGCCCTATAAACATTACAAGAAATAATTTATAGTAGCATATTATTTTAATCAGAATCATGAATATAAAAACCTTATGAACGCTTTGTTCTATACAATAAATTACATTTCGTTGGTTTCAAATATATAATTTAATAATAACAGAAGACTGCAGAATTTAATATGACCAGTTTACCTGAAGGATATTGATAATTGCAAAATGTCTTTATTAATGGTGCGAATTATTGAAACTGTTACAAAAAATATCTTTGTATGATTTATACATATCAAATTTTTAGTTTTCATTTTTTTACAAAACTTCTGATATGTTTATAAAGCGAGAAGTCCAGTTATATTATAGCTCTACTAGAAGAAGTTTCTTTGCAATCTCTCTATTTGTCTGTGTCTCAGCGCTAAAATGCGAGTCAGGTCATGACAACGGTATCAAAGAGACCGGTATGGTCAAAAAATACAAGGTTCGAGAATCGGCGATCCAAAGAGCCGCGGTACCCTTTTTGGAAGTCAGATGTTACGAGATCGATTATAGTGTAGATAGACCTAACAAGACCTTGAAGCAGTAACAAAAGTAAAAATTAGGTAGACCCTAAATTATGCCCGACTTTAGTGTTGGACAGTGGATTGCCTGGAATAAAGTATTGTTTTCCGAGACTCATATAGGGATAGGGAGAGACGACGCGTACGCGTGCGAGTGGAAATCACTCCCGTGTGGCGGAAGCTCCGTTGTATTTGCATCAATTGTTTCGAAGCAGCTTTACGGTTATATTTCACAGAAAAGAGAACACGGTACATAACGGAAGACGTAATTCCTCATACACAATCCGCATTAATTGCTCTTGTAAAAGATTTATTTTTTATAGATGACTATGTTCGTTCTCACCGTTCTGCCGACGAAGAGATTAAAATTTAGTGGAAAGCATACCCAGACAGATGCAGCCCTGTTTATGGCAAGAGTAGGTAGGTGTAGGGTTACTTATTTTTAGTATTAGCATTAACTATTTGTTATACTTAAAAGAAACTGTTTCGACGTGTACATCTATTTCATTGAATTTATCGAATATCACGCCTAATTTACAAGGTTATATTGTGAATATAAAAGCTACACCAAACCATTAAATTAAATTGAATAAACTGAAAGGATTGTTTAAGAAGTATAATTAGGTAAGTAGAGATTTAGGTATAGAAATAGTAATATCGTTATCGCTCCTTGAGTTCTCAAAAAAAAATCTTCTGTAAGCTCAGCTTATAATTCTAGGCCGTTCACTTTTATTTTTGTTTTTAGAAGCATTACTTATCCATTTTAATCTTAAAGCAAATGAGACAATAAAAGAACTTGTTTTAGCTCAATTTATTTCTTAAATTTATTTCTGACCGCAGTTTAATGAAATTTTGTCATGCTACTGACCGTGCAGGTATAATAACGAGATAATTCTCGTTTCATGACATTGTTTCACCTTCCAATTATAGCAGTATTCTGGTAGTCTTTAGTCCTCATTTGTGTCTTAATAACTTTACTATATAAGCAGCTGTAGGATTTTTATTGGCACAGATTCGTGCTCATTTTGCATAACTGCCAAGTTAAATCTCTTTGACATCTCATTGTCATCACTAACATTGATTAGCGGTGAAATCGAAATGATGTCATTGGACATTGATGTAATTGATTTGCTTTTCAAAAGCTTATTTACTATATCGTGATAAATACGTTTGCAGTCACGACGATATCGATGTGATTTTACGTTGTGCTCCCAGCACATTCGTATAATATACAATTATAGGCCAATCTTTGGCTACTTGGTTTTATACTTATGTAATAATACCCACGGATTTGGCATTTGCTGTTCTAACAAGCCTAGGAATTGCGTCAATCTCCCGCGTTTCTGAGTAATGCAGCTTTATGAAACGAACGAATTATAAACAAACAGTCTTCAATAAATCACTGAAAAAGAGAAGCTTTACCAATCGCAAATAATAAAAAACTTATAAAATATCTTCATCGTTATTGTTTCCTTCGGTGATTTAAGGTAGATATGTAAATATATCATGGCTGACCTTCCCATTTCTTCCGCGCTAACATAAAAGGAACACGGAACTATTTGTCTTGTTGCAGTGAGCTTCATCTTTTGCTAACCAAATCGAACTTAGCGATATTCAGATGACATCCTTATAAACAGACACACAACAAATTCTAAAGACAGTGAACATGTGCTCTTCAACTTCCTTATCTCCCGGAAGACTAATTCCGTATTATAACGCCAACATCGTAATGCTTTGTTTGTAATGTCGAGCCGGTTCACATTAAGAGACTAACCGAACAGGTTATTTTGATCACTGTATCAAACTGTTACTTTTTGTGTGTGACCTGAGCAGTTCTTGGCTTCTTTTTAAATTTCATATTTTAATGATCGGTTGTCTTCAGGGTTATAATCGTTAATATGAATTTGGATCGTTAACCACCTACTTTGTTTAATCTAGGTTAATGTATTCGACGCGGTTAATCTAAAGATCGATAAATCTAAGATATGAATATCTATCATTATTCTGAAACGAAGTACCTGAATAAAGTGTTACTTTTCTTTCATCATTATCATCTCTCAAGCTTCTATTTATATTTCGAATATTTTATACCTGTTTGAGGGTTTGAATATCAATATAAAGATAATGGTCAAACAGGACTATTGAGTGCTATAGAAATAACAGAATATTTAAAATGCGGAATTGGCTAGTATTTGGACGTGGTGCTGAACGGCGTGAGCGCCAGTTGGCCGTCGACCGCCCGACAGAGGACAGCGTGCGGAGCCGCGCTCGCGGGCTGCACGCGCGGTATTACCATGCCGCCTACTACCATGATCGTACCTTGTACGTTACAAACAATGCTAGTGCCATCCTTTACGGTGACGAAATTTCGTAAATATCCCACAATTTTTATTTATATTTAATTTAAATATATAACAAAGTTTTCACAAACAAGTTCAGTGTCCAGTGATCCCAGCCCAGCTTTTCTATATGTTTGTGTAGCTGCAGTGACAAATGTGTGTATAGGTGCTTTGGTTATTATGGATTTTGGCAAGTGTCCTGTGTGTCGTAAAGTTCCAACGGATTTTGTAAATCCGTGCAAGATTTGTTTGTACGCATTTATATGCGGGCGGAAGAGGGGATCTTGAGAGCGTTTGTTGACCAGTTCTGTTTACGTTTTCGATTTGGCATTGAATGAGATCCCAAATTGGATAGTTTTGGCTACGTTGTAGTATGAATGAGCCATCCTTTAACATTGTACCTGCGTTAAAACTACTAGAGTATTCATTTTATGTTGCAATTGCATTATTTCCAACTCACCATTATTGCGGTGCTTCTTTTTAAAATAACATCTTTAATGATTTATCGAATGGCGAGTGGGTGTCGTAAGTAGTACGAAGCGTCTGTACTCTGTACTATAGCTTGCAGCCTACGCCGTCGATACACATCAATCATTAACTGTGAGAAGCCAACCTAACCTAGTTGAACGAACCGAGTGCTGTATTTGGATTACTGTGATGCTTTCTAACCTAGGGTCTTATTCCATTAGTCACTACTAATAATAGCACTTTCATTTCTATTGGTGCTCCCCTACTGAACTCACCTGCACATTTTTAATCTAGCTTCCGAATATTCTTCAATACCATGGTCAAGTTAAATGTCAGTGTATAATTTCATAGTTAAACAAAGTACATTTATTTCCTAAACTACAAAACTACGACGTCGTATAACCCCCTAGTTTGCTGTCAAAACACTGTACTTAGTTAAAGCTCACGCACAGTTGCGTGTTCAACCAGGCTACAATTGTTAGCAATTAACTGTATTTCTTTCGCGTGTCGTAGTTCCATCTTAGAAATAGGGTCAACTATTCAGAACTTAATGTAAGAATGAAAACTAGAAGTTGCCTATGCCAATCTACTCGTATGACATGTCTATGACCAGTCTGCTGCTTATGAAAATTGGGCTATGTTAAAATTTCTCTACAATGTGAAGTTTTCACTTTCTTAAAAAACTTGGGCTACTATTTCTAATTTGCACCAGTTTACCGATGATGATATCGGAGTATATTTTTTTATTTTAGATGTTTTCGTAAACCACGGTGATATCGTTTTTCCCCATACATTTCGCAGCAAACATTTCCACTGAATAATACAGTGATATTTTCAAATATAGCAATGGAGACAAAACCAGACCTTCGTCTTATTCGAAAACTATTAAAACTCGTCTTGTACTTGTTACAATATGGAAATCCAATGGACTGATCACTCTCACGAAACGTGATGAGACAAATAAATATCAACTCTAAACCACATGTTGATTTGGATACGTGCGGTTCCACGCCTACATCTAATACTTATAATCTATGAACTGTATCAATATTTTGTTCTTGCGTATAGCAATAAATCTCCATGGTACTTTAACCATTATATTGATAAATGACTCGAAATTAACATTAATAAGTATTAAAGGATTTGGAGTCTTGACTTGACCAATGCGTGGGACATTAGTAACTACGTTTATCTTTAATATAATATTTGAAACTAGTTAATTATGTGGCATCCCCACTTTTAGTCGGCTAGGTTCTTTTAAATTATGATAAATGCTATAGGAACCATATGATAAACCATCCAAAATAATTTAAATAAATGATACAAATATAAATTATTTTTCTCAGCCCATACACGGACGAAATGGGCTTCCCATTTTGGTTGATACGTCGTTATTTACACACGTATGCTAAATTTGCTATAGTCTTTATATCCCTAGGGTAAATAAAATACGCTCCTGCCGTTATAGTGCCAGATCTTTTACCTATTGGACCTTCATAATTAGACCTTACCTACATGACATTACCTATTCAACCTCCTTTTAAGAAGATGGTATCCACTGGACCTTCAAAAAGGTACCTTACTTATACGATAGGCCCTGTTGGACCGCTTAACTCATTGGACTATTTGGCTATAAAAAAATTTCTTCAATGAAATACAAATTGAAATCAGGCAGCAACCTTTGTTCCGGAAACAGTCCTAACATTCGTCACCAATTTAAGCGTCATTGGATGAAACATCTAACATATGTTTCATTATTAAATTTTTTTAATTTGTTAATGTTGATGTTCTATGTAAATGGTCGTTTTTACATATTTTCCTGCAAATCTGTCATATTTGATTAATTTTATATTAAGTTCGTTTGCGGTTTCATTAAATATCTTGTCGTTTTAAGATTATAATAATTAACCATATTATGAACAATATATCATATTATCTCGCTATTACGAAGACCCCTAGAAAGATTTCATTGGCAAATTGGCAAAAGAAGGTAGTCAGTTTGTCGAATAAAGAAATAAATTTTGGGTTAGGTCCAGTAACAGTTAAAACAGTACCAAAACAAAGAAATAAAACATCAATTTAAAACATTGAGGGCTAATGGTCTAAAATTACTCTTTCCGAGATTCAAAATGAAAACAAGTTTCAATGTGACTTTATTTAATGAAAAGGATCGCGTAAAGAGTAAAAGTTACTCAATTAGGCACAATTGACCATTATACTGACCCGGCGAACTACTTACCGGTTACAATACAATGTTTGACAGCAAAGTAGGAAGAACAGTATATCTGTGAAAATGCAATTGTTGTTTTTACCATTTTCCTCGCAATTTTTCATCGTTTAATTAATCCTTCCCTGGACTACGACAATTAATTATTTATTTTCATTTGTTTTGTGTATTAAAAGCTTTAAAACTTATTAAATTAAGAATCACCATATTATTATTTATAAGTATTAAAGGATTAGGCTGTGCTGGGGCAAAGTCCTTCCTTATGTACGAAATGGGGAACTGGACTTGACCCACCCCAAGGGTCCAGTACGAATTGGTGGATTCTAACGACTGCATATGCAACCCCGCAGAACACAGAAGGAGGTTAGAAGGGCTTTGTAGGCGAGGCAGGCGCGCCACAGCTATGTGTGAGCAAATGATTATAACTTGACCAAAAGTTGGTTCTGATTTCGTTATTGCACTCGGGAGTGAGCGCTGATTCGTTTGATTGGCTATTATCTATTAGGTGAAAGTGTAGTGGGGGCGAGCGGACGACATCGGTTCCAGTACAAACGGTCTATGATCACCCTTCTTACCTTTTTATGTGTTCTGTTTGCAACCTGATTCAACAACTTAACATTTTTTCTGAAACGGACGAGATCTAGATCACCCAGGCTGTGACCGGCTATTGCGAAAGTTGTCTACATCCATAATCGCAGACCGAACACGCTAAGCTCTGATGCACTGTCATTGAAATCATCTCCTATTTTGTTATTAGTAAAAGGTTTTAAACAAAAGATTCTAGGATATTTTCTATCTTACGCGTAATCAACTCAACAAAGGTCCAGCATTCGAACACTCGCTTATTATGAAAACGTACTACTAAACTTCGATGTTGAACGAAGATAAACTCAAGCGGTCTCATAGGACCGCGCGGCCTCGATCTCCTCCGCCATTTCCTGAGCTCCGCCGGTTTAGAAGTGGCTCTCTTGCAACCTAGGAGGTGCCGGGGGAGCCTCAACGCGTCAAAGGGGTCTTGATAGATCAATTTTTCACACACCCCTATAAGGAGGTTGACGAGTTAGCTAAGGAATGGCAACCAAATGCTTACGAGTTGAATGCGCACGCTTCTGCGTAAGACAGAAAACATTTTTAGCAACGTATTGTTGACTTGTTGTATTGCACAGGCAGCGAGGCGTCACCGCCGCCGTATGAGGTGTTCCTCGGCGGATCTTGCAACCCCACCACCTGGAGGTCGGACATAGCGATCCCGATGCTGAAGAAGATGGGCATTACATACTTCAACCCGGTGAGTAATAGCAGCGTGGTTTTTAAAATTTGGCGACCCGGGCCTCTCAGATTAGTCATTTTTAGGGTTCCGTGACTTAAAAGGAAAAAATGGAACCCTATTATATAGGATCACTTTATTGTCCGTCTGTCTGTCTGACACGGCGCTTTATCTCGGAAACAGCGTATACAGGTATCGAGTTGCAATTTAAATCATATACTCAGGTCTACCGCCTCTTGAAGCTGTGAAAAACCGTTTATCTGTCTGTCTGGCAAGACTCAAGACGCTTTATTTCGGGACCGTGTGGAGGTATCGAGTTAAAATGTATACCATATACTCAGGTCTACGGTCTCTTAAAGCTGGGAAAAAATCAAACTTCTAAGTTAACGTAAAAAGAGATACGGCCGTTTATGTTGCGTACCTACAAATTTGTATGGAACCCTCGGTGGATAAGTTCGATTTGCGCTTGTCCGTTTTTTTTATTACTTACTCTATGAAAAGATCGTTCGCCGCCCTTCATAGCCTACCACCCCGGATCATGGCCTTTTTGGCTCTAGGGTATATGAGTCACGGTCGGTCACATCAAATCACATAGGTGTTTACGAGATAGATCACCGCTCGTGACGTTGTTTTTGCGTCTTACCAATGAGTAGGTAGAATAGTAAGATAATCATCATTTATGTGTAGGATATCTTCCGTACTATTAAGAGTCATTTGTATGTGTAACTGAATAATATATTAATAATTTACGAAAGGTTATACTTCAATGACCAAAATCATCATGATAAAAAAATCATGTTGTTATGTTAGTAATAGTTTCTAAAAGTAACTTTATTTTACATTATATACTTACTTATATAAGAGACAATGCGCCTATAAAGTCAAAAATAACTTTATGTTTTCTTCATTCGCAGTTCATTATAAACAGATGGGAAGTCCAACCTTTTAGCCAAAATTGCGAAATTTCATCCGCTTATTTTTGATTATAAGTATGTATATTTATTTATTTATTAATTTACAGTCAGGCAACGTAGGCCCATAGATACATACCTTAAAGTCTAACATATATACAGATATAAAACATAGTAAAAAACTTATTGAACACGTATTGACGGCGACGTGTGACGCAGGATGGTGTCCGGTATATAAAACTAACAAATGAGAAAATTTGTCAGACTATGCTGCTGACGGTATAGGTATACTTATGAATTGAATTCACACGAGAGTTTAGTGTGAACGTATTCACGCTTAGACGATCACTTTCCAATCAATCAACAAGAGACCAAATAGAAAGTATGAACTTATATTGATGACTAGACTTTAACATTAAATGTGGTAACGTGTAACATAGTATAGTCTAGTTTTGTAACAAATAGTCTAGCTAGGTTTGGTATTTTACATAATATAAACGTAAAAAAAATAATTTAACACAAAAAAGGTACGGACCAAGAGACTCTAGACTTTAAGAAATAATCTTAATATATGAGGAGCTGGCGAACAAAACGGTATAATAACGCATCTGGTCAAACTACTTTTTTTTTACAGTCCGATGGTTTCGGCCCGTTGAATTTGAATCTCAAATAATTTTCAATCAAAACTGCCTAAAACAGTATTAAAATTACTAAATTTATAAATTAAAAACCATGGCAAAAGCTCACTATATAGAAGGTAGAGGAGGGAGGTATGTCATTCAGTTATATAGCTCCTGTAAATTTTAATTTTATGTAATTATACCGTTTAGTTCGCTAGCTCTTCATATATAAATCACGCATCACGTTGTTTGTCCAGGATGGACTCCTAAACTGCTAAACCGAATTTAATCAAATTTGCATATCGTGTGCAGTTTGATCCAACTTGAAAGATAGGATAGCTTACATCTCAATTTATAGTCGTAATATTATTTAATTGCAAACTATTTGTTTATTACTCGACAGTCACAATTATCTGTTAGCTCCAATCGATTCTAACATTCTGGCGGTATCAAAAGTACCAACGTTTTCCTACCTCTAAGTGGTAAGGGTGGTCCACCCCATTTTCTTATAAAATATGTTGCCATTACAAAATACATACAACCCGAAATTTTCACCCCTCTACCACCCATATTTTTATGGCGATACTAAGTTCGGTGAGTCTGCTAGTAATAAAAATAAATAAACGTGTACCAAAACGCAAATGCGCTTTGTGCTTTGTATTAAGAAAGGATGATGTTATTCGCATATCATAGTACTGTCTATGACTGTATCATCCACGTGTACCGTACGTAGGTCGGCCGCCTAACTGTCAGTCATTATCGTACATCATAACGGCGTATTGTTTGCAGTAATCGCATCGTAAAAACAATGCGATAGTTTTATTTATGCGTAATGTAATCAGTGCATACAAAGTGGCTCTTCAGGACCTTATACAGTAGTGGCCAATTTGCGGGGGCGATTGTTTTGTAAATCAGGGTCTACGTTGTTTATCACAATTATAGTTTCCAATAGTAAAAAAATAAACATATAGAAAATCATTACCTAGATCCCCCTGATATTGACAAAAACATGTATTTCTTAAAGCCTTATTCTTTCCCTAACATCGACAAAATCCTTTAGGCAAAGCCTATTTATTTCAAAAGGGTAAATCTCATTCCCAATAATCCTATAGATATAGCAAAATTATGTTTCAAAAGTACTTTATCGGTGTTTATACTTCGACTCAATAAATTTAATCATTGACATCATCACATTACCAACAGCTGTACTTTTTGTAAACTAGTCTAGACTCTAAAGAGCTTAGTATATAAACTCCTTAGGCTCTCATTAAGACGAGATGCATGTGATGATCCAATATTAATAATTAGAAGCCACAATTTAAAATGCGGATTGCCATTTATTAAAAAGATTAACACAAAAAGCTTTAACAAAAATTACATTGTCAAACTAATATGATTTATAGCAAGATAGAAAACATTTCAAAGGTCACGTTGTAGTAAGATCTATTAAAGTGTATTCTAAATTAATAGTTTATAGGTAGGTGTCTACGAATATTTAATAAGTACGCGTGGGTGGATTCATAATGAAGCTATTAAAATAACAGCATTCCTTTACTGTGTTTTAGGGGCAACAAAATTATAAACTTACTTAATCTGAAAATAGAAATGATGTCAAAGGTACAAATAATAATTTACGGGAATCGATTACATTTTGATTATGCCTGTGGTATTGTTAAATTTAGACATGTTTGGTGTCAATTTCTTAACAAACCACGATTAACCACGATTCTTAGGTAATTTTCGTAAAGTTCTGCTTTTATCATTAGAATTATTACAGTTCTTTGAAATGTAACATTTAATATCGATATATCAATTGCTACTGTATTAAATGTGATCTAATACTACTAAAACGCCGATTACAAAATTGTAATGAGGTTCCATTAATTATTATGGGTAAAGATGTTGTGCCATAGATCATTTTATAACTTTATCAATAATATTTTAAACCTTTGGTATTACCACTAATTTTTGAAACGACATCTCCATAACTTTTCAGTTCCTAACCCTATTAATAGCAGAAGAATAAGCTTGGATTAGTAACTCTATGTTTGTCTCTGTTCATTGAATTACAAATGGCACTTGAGTGACATGATCAAAACTCGCCGTAAGTAGTCTCAGATTGTTCCTCGTTTATTAATAAGGGGATATGGGCTTATTGCCAATCTCTGCGAAAAGTGGCTGCAACCTCCATGATTACTAATAAACATTTTATATAAGGGTGATTGTTATTAGCCTTTTCTTTAAAAAACCGAGCAAATCTTATTTATAGCCGTAACTAAACCGCGTTAACTGTAGTTTTTGAGAATCGAGAAAAGAGATGCCCTGGAGTCGGTACCTTTCATATATTTATTATTGTTTGGCTGTGATCTGTAAAAATATAACATACATAAATACTCCACGACAACTCTGCGATGTGATTCGTAACAATGTATATGAGGTATAGTGCGTCTGAATGACGCAAAAAATTATAGTTGTGAAGTTAGAAGCGAAAGCAGCTACTTATGCGCAGGTTTTAGTTCAGTGACATCACGCGCGCGCCTACACCATCCTACTTTTCGTTTACTGCGCGACGACTTGTACTAACTTCACAGGCGTCATTGATTTTGATACGCACTCTGCTACACGGCAACTCCTATCCGAGACAAACACAGGATTAGGATACTAGATATACGTTTGTAAGTATCGTAGTCCAAGAAAAAAAAGGCTTACAGTAAACTTTTTGTCGTAGCAAGTGGACGACTGGTCCACGGAACTGATGGAGGTGGAGCACCAAGCGAAGGCCGCTGCGCGTGCGTTGCTGTTCGTCCTGGACAGCGAGACGCGAGCAGTGGCGGCCAGTGTGGAGGCAGCGCTTCTGGCCGCTGAGCCCAGGGACCTACTGCTTGTGCTCAAACCGTACACCCGCCACCAGACCATCGGCCAGGAGAAGATCTCGGAACAGTATGTATTTGTGTGATCACGTACGCGATTACAGCTACATACGCGGCCAACGGGAATCCGCGCTACTAGCCCCCGAGCTCAGGGACCTACTGCTCGTACTCAAACCGTACTCCCGCCACCTGATTTGTGTGGTCAGGTCACGTATAGGATTACAGCTTCATACCATCAACTTCCACGGAACTGTTAGAGATGGAGCATCAAAGTGAAGACCGCTTAGCTAACGCTGTTGTTCGTGCTGGACAGCGAGACGCGAGCGGTGGCGGCCAGTAGTCTAGAAGATCTCGGAGCAATATGTATTTGTGTGGTTACTATATTACAGCTTCAGACCATCAACTCTTGGACATACAATCTCATCTCTCCAAACACTGGATGAGAACAGTATAAAACTGAACTAGACGGCATGCGCTACAGAAAGCCTACATTCAGCATTGGATGGCCATGGGCTGAAGAAAAAAAATACCACTAACTCTTGCGAAATGGCGTCGCAATGCTTTAACAGGCATTGGATAGATATAGGTTATTTTCCCAAATGTAGTGCTATTTTATTCGTTGATAAAATAAGTTTTACATGCTCAGGAAAGGAGTACCTCGAGTTTTTTGTTTTACTTTCGATTCCGACATACATATTAACTCGAAAAGAGATCGTCCCCTTATCAACTCCAGTCGTTATCGATCTCTTTCCGTTTTGATATGTGGGCTATGATGCTTATTAAAACATAATGTTCTTAATATTTTTAACATCTGATGTCTGGTAGATTCGTTTTTCCTAACTACAGAGAATGGTTACTTGACATTAATTTATCTCAGTTCTCAAAACAGCTTGATAATTTAAAATCGATAACTACTCATCGTGAAAATGATGACAGATACAAGACTCGAAATACCATCCAAAATCAATTCCAGATGTAGAGAAATGGTTATTAAATCTTTTTTAAGGGGCGAGGATATTGGAAACTATTAACATTGAACTCTGTGGTGCGCATGCTAAGAAACGAATTTTGATGGTGAATATTTTTGGTATACTTACTATTAAGCTGCATTAGTAATACTAGTAGTCTTCAAGAAAGCTTGGTATAATAATAGTATTACTTCTTATTAATTGATATGTAATATCTGTAGGAATTATCCACTGACATTTATTGATGCGTACATATCTAATTATCATAAGCGTGATATCATCCTCATACGGTCGTCAGTAGTAATTAAATAAAAAGACAATTGAACAAAAGAATAAACTGTTATATTTTAATGAATATTTAATGATGGTTTCATGAATTCATACATATAGTGGTAATAAAAACAAAAATATAGTGAATATAACTAGAAAAAAAAAATCCACGCGGACCAGGCAGCAGACGGGACTCGAACCCGCATCGAGTCCCGTCTGCTGCCTGGTCCGCGTGGATTTTTTTCTAGTTATATTTACTTTAGATTTAAACATCAAGCAGTTACATGCTTTAAAAATAATAAAAATTATAAAAATATAGTGGTATGGTTATCAAACGTCAAGATCGATATTGCATGACCATTGAAGTAGCCATATGTGTTTCTGTATAGGTGACATCATCCTTTAGATATAAATATTGAATCATACTTATTTTTGCTAAAATTATGATATGGACATTTTATTTCGTTTCTATACATCTTATATATGAAATTCTCGTGCCACAATGTTAGTTACCATACTCCTCCGAAACGGCTTGTCCGATTTCTATGAAATTTTATATGCATATTCAGTAGGTCTGAGAATCGGCTACTATCTATTTTTCATACCTCTAAGTGATAAGGGGTCCACCCCTAACATGAATTTTTTGGACACTTTGTTTTTATTTTTTTATAATGGGTCATTAAAAGTTATATACAATCCTAAATTTTCACCCTTAATATATGAGATAAAAATTTTTGTTCACTCATCCGATGACCGGCCGTTGCGAAAGTTGCATAAATTCTACCATCGCAGACCGCACTCTAACCACTTGCGCCATTGAGCTCCTCGAAAAAGGTATAAAGGAATAAAGAATTGTACATACATACATATATGAACCCGGAATACATTACACTCTTTTTTTTTTGGGCAGTCGTGTAAAAAGGTGGAATGGTTTCAGGGAGTACGTGGAGCTATCTAGAGCGAGGGCGACGCTCCAGGAGGTGGTCGAGCGGCGCGGTCTGCCAGCCTTCACGGACATTCCGAATGCGCTGCGTTGCGCGCGCATGGTTTTACGCGGCGCGCGAACGCATCCACAACATGTGCTGGGCTACACCATCCGGCGATTAAAACGCGCGTACGACGCCTCCGGCGGCCGGCATGGACAACTCGGCCGGTCGAAAGCCGTCGACGCGTTACGTGACGTCACCAAGTGCACCAGAGATGCGGCCGAAGCGTGCCTCCAACCCACGGATGCGAGTGTGGACTTTGAGACCTTTTGCGCGGCCGTCGCAGAGCTGGCCGCTGATCCTGGTGAGTCAAACTTTGATATGTTTTTATTTTAGTATTTACACGCATTAAATCACTTTTGGGTATAGGAAGGCGTTCCATATCTTCTGTCAGAAATACTGTTATTCTTCTTCAGTACATATTACTGAACATGTGAACTTACAATATAGCATTTAGTAAACCCACTCTTATCAGCTGCAAGAAAGAAGAAAGTTTGCTCATTAGAATCGTGCGATTACATTTTATGTTTAGTGCGCAGCTCTGTGTATAAAACTCGGCAATAATTTCAGTACTATGCATTAAAATTATGTCAAAGCGAGCGAATAAATTTCGTTCGCCCAGCTTTAATATCGTTATATGTAACCTTTGGAAGTGATGCATTTAGTTGTTTTTTGATCGGGAATTATTGTTTATAAAGATAAGGATTTCGAGGGACACGAGTAATAATTCTTATATATAAAGCGATAACAAATCCTATACAAATCCATCATAATATATGCTATTTAATCAGTTTTATCAAGAGAGTGCTGAAAATTCCTTCGCCAATCAGCATCGTAATCTCTTAATCGAATACTGAATTATGTAAAAAAAAACAATTAACCTTATATTACGTCATTAACCCGTCTTAGATTATCCAAATCATTAATATGACAGTGGATCATTATCATATTCGCCACATTTTCTTTGTGGACTTCAGCCCCCGGGTAAAGTATTAACAAAATATTTTTTTTGTTTTTACTTCATGTTTAAAACTTCTTGTGTATGAAATACATATAAAAAAATAATTAATTTTAGCGGGTTATCAAACGCCATACGTATTGTTAGTAAAGGATTTTTCATAAAGCTTTACTTTGTGTTTATTGCCAAAATTATTTGAAACTTATCTCATAATTATATCAATGTTAAAAAAAGGTAGATAGGATGCTATCATTGCAGTAGTTGATACCGCAATAAAGAAAATTGACTGTCTTGAAATAAATCTTAGATTGCTGCACCTGATTGCAATCTAATATAATATATGTTGGCACATGATCGTGTATAATTTAAAAACCACTTGGAATGTGAACTGCTTCCTTTGAGTCAGTTGAAGTATTGGACGGTGTTGATCACCGATAAATTTTGGTTTTACCTTGGTATCCCTTTATATGGAACGTCAGAGAATCAGTTGAAACTTATTTTTATCGCAAAAAATATATACAGATTACAAAAAGGAGATACATAATAGGTAATTCCGTAGGCTGCTAGTCCAATTCGGAGTTTGATCGAGGCCGTCTTACGAAATCAATTTTGGCAAAATTTTGTTATAAATATTAAACCACACGCACGCAACAATTTGTATACTATTAAATTGAATCATTGTCGTTGGCTGTAATAATGATATCCAGGGGCGTATTGGCCCATGGCCTGGGGCGCCAGATTTTAAAATACACCCCTGAGTGTAACCAAACATTACCTACCGAATCTGTGTAACGTATTCCTATATTTAAGAGTGAGTTCTTTGCCGCCACAATAAACAATGGGATTTCATAGTTGACTTGTGTCTAAGTGTAATGTGTTTTTGAGGCGCGGCATTTTTATTTTATACTAGTTGAACCCGTGTACTTCGTACGGGTTAAAATAATTTGGAAGAAATGACGGACCCGAGTCTACCGTACCAAAAGGGACGAATGTCAAATGTTTGACAGGAAAGAAAATAGAACAGTTTATATGGGAAAATAAAATTGACGTTTTTACTATCTTCCTCGCAATTTTTCCATATTTTCTCACCTTTTAAACCTTCCCTAGACCTCCACGAACATTTCAAGACCAAGATAAGATAAATCCGTTCAGCCGTTCTCGAGTTTTAGATTTTTATATATATATAGATTGAGAGTGGGTTATATACCGCCTCAAAAAATGTGCATGGTGGCGTTGTAGTGGACTAAGGGTAGTGTTCTTTGAAGGACGCGACAGTGGTGGCGCGACCAGCGGTGGCGTAGCGGCGGCGGTTCGACGTGTGTTCCGCTCGCTGAGACATCGACTCGCGCCCTCTCCCGGTGCGTTTACGCACTGTTTTCAAATATGCTTCACACCTTCAACCATTCAGTTCACTTAACCACCATTCACTGTATTGATCTTAAAATTCAGACTCCAATGCATCCGATGAAGCAAATGAATGACTGTTTAAAATAATTTCACTTATAGACGACTGGCTTTGCTGCTGGAATTTTCAGATTTGCTCTATTCGTGCTTATAATTTGTGTCATCAAACCTTATTTTAAATTGTTGTTTTTCTCATTACCTACAGTTTACTGTCATGCTTGTACACATAATATGATTATTTATTGGTGCCAAATCTGAAGTTTGAATATTTTTCTCACATGGGGCATACATATTGTGTCGTACTTTTGACCGCTGCGGGAGACATTATCCTCTGAATAATGATTCCCTTTTAAGTTTAATAAGAGCAAGCTATTATTCTGATTTTTTTAATGACTTACTTTACAAATGTTACTACTTATAGATACGTATTTTAAATAAAAAAAATGAGCATTCTCCTACAGCAGTAAATAATTTGTTGTGTTATAATTTTTCATTTTCATCTTTTCATTCAATTTATGCCTGTTTACTACATCTCCATTGATATAATTATCCTTTATTTCTCCATATCTTTTGTTTCGATCTAATCAAACATAAGATCTTATCGTATTCCTATTTCTCAATGCCGGCTTGTCTCATTAGATGCGTAATTGCATTCGTCACGACAAAATGTAAATATCATTATCTTATCGTCAGTTTCACATGTTCTATGAATTTGAAACTAATAATTGTTTCCGTGAATGGTGTGTGTTTTAATGGAGGCTTCGTTTTGTTTACTTCACCGACTCACTGATTCTGTTGACAACAACCCCGTTTGTATTTTACGCTGCTGCGTGGTTTGATTTGTTTTGCGCAGGTTGTTTTCTTATTTACGTGCTGAGAAATTGAATCATTATATTTTGCGTTTCACTTTACGACTATCAAGATACGTCCGATGATATCTTTTTTATCTTATGACTACGAACTTGGTTTTTTATAGTCGTTCTAACGTATATTATCACGCACTTATTTGAATGAAATGAATTAATTGAATAGGAATTCACCACTACGGTTTATCTACTACCGTAATCGCAGTTCTACAGAAAACGCCGCTAAGTGTGTCATTGACGCTAGCTGTGTTCCGAACATTTATTAATTGTAATTAAAATGCCTTCCGTGTATTCAACGACTCTTCAAATCACTTCACAGAATAAAAAACTTGCAAATCTTTTATATTATATTATCGCAGAATAAATTCAAAATAATGTTAAAAATTGATGTTTTTACTCAAAATAGATAATATTTACAGACTGACAGAATAATATTATTCCCTGGTGAATTTATTTGATGCTAAAAATACAGCAGAGAATCAGCAAATTGCAGCTCAAATAAGCAAAACAGATTTTCGTCTGAAAGTGATAAAGTAGTAAGTTCTTCTATCTTTTATCTTCTCGTGTTTTTATTGCATTGTGCACTACCACATTTTGTTTTGATTTTTATGTGCTTGTCATGTTCATGTACAGACAACCACATGTCAGGTTATCCATAAAAATTGATAAAATTTTCAAACTGTTTTTGAGCTTTACGGGAAAACTTCTTGGGCATCGACCATAGACAAGGAAGCCTGCGCAGTAGCAATTTTACATACCAAACCGTCTACTGCGCAAGTTTATTTGTCTGGATTCACTCAACCAGTTTGCCGCCACCTTTACCACTGGATCACGTTTAGATTATCTCTTCTTTGTCTCCAGAAGTTCATGAACGCAGTCAAGACAATGAAGTGGGTGCGGACAGCGGAGCGATACGCGACGCGACAGAGCGAGTGGCGGACGCTAGTAGAGAGACGAACGGCCTTCACGTGTACAACGCACGTTTAAAAGCATACGGCAGAAAGCTTGGATTGTTCATTCCAAAGGTAATTAATTAAACACAATTTTTATTCGACTTCAATGACTACATATCAATAAATTGTAGCAGACAGATAATATTTTTTTTATAATTTCTTATTTATTAAAAGATTTGTATTGAAAGTTTTTGATCTATCGTTTGCGTATCTGAAGGATAGCTATAGTATAATCAAAACCTAAATGCACTACATATATTTGCACTTTATTTAATTTGATTGTCTAAGATTGCTTACAAATTCTATGATGCGAAGTTTGTGTTGTTGTTTTTATGCCCTTTAAGGTTAAATTACAACGAAGAGTATTATTACTATTAAGTTTTTGTTCGTGGACGCATTCATCGCATCATCTCCATTATTTAATTTTAGTATCCGTACTTTTTTTTATAAATATTTTTTTATTTGATTAGTACGAGACTAATAAAGTACAAGTGCATAAAGTCATCAGCACTAGTACTCTCCGTTATTTTTATTCCTTGACCCCTTTTTGCTATCGCGATAAAACTCCGTAATTTGCATGATAATAGCAAATGTCAATTGGGTAGCCTTGAGATGACTGTTTCAAGTTTTCGCGCTATCAGACCAATACCGGAAAATAACGAATGCTAAGAAGGTTATAAATTAATAATTCACTATCAATATCATTAAAACATTGGCTGCAGTATAATACCTACTCTTCATAGGCTATTTGAATCAAAAATCATCAATCAAATAGAAGATGAAAGAGATAATATATTCAAAATGAATATTGGCACCGATTTTCACTATTTATACAGAAAAAATATTGATAATTTAGTCAAAAAATACGAAAAAGTTTTTTATCTATTCTCACGTGACCGAAAACGCCTAGGATTAGCGGAGCCTAAAATGGCTTCATACAAATGTAAAGTTCCGGTAAAAATGACATTACGTTAGATGTATGTTGTCAACCACAGAACAGAGAAAGAGGTTAGAATGGCCTTGTGGGCGGGGCAGGCGCGTCCCAGTTATGAGCAAATGCTCATAACCTAACCGTTACGCGCGATCGCGTCGTTTAGTTGCTCGCGCACGTTCAGTCAGAGAGTATTGTGATTATCGCTTAAAATATGCCTTCGTGTGCTGTAATTACTTGCAAAGCAAGGAGTCAAACATCAAATCTACCTAAAGCAGGAATTTCTTTTCATCGGTAAGTATAAAACTTCTTAGTTAGACTGATATTTTAGTAAAAATTCGTGAAATACTAATTATACGATAAATCACATATATATTTCCATAAAAATATTCATTGCTGACAAAGTACGCTCGTCATTCTTTCGACGACGTTCAAAACACGTAATGTAGTAAGGTTCGAGCAAGAATGACGCATGGACCACAAAGCGCTGCACGTGGCCGCATGCAGTACAAGGTCATTGCACACAGTAGGTACAAACTACCACAACTTTAGTGGTGTCTTGCGTCGTACACTTTACATTGTCGATAGATTTTATCGATGGAATTTTAGCACCTAATAATGGAATTAAAGTAACTATTATAAATAAATAAAAGCTGATTGTAAATGTATATACAATATAAATATAAAGCTAAATAGTTTGTTTGTTTAATTGGTTGAAAGCGCTTTTATCAGGAACTACTGATGCGATTTAAAAAATCTTTTTGTGTTGGGTAGTGCATTTATTGAGGAAGGCTATAGATTAATAAAACATAATAATACGACTAAGAGGAGCGGAGCACCAATAAAAAAATATGGAAAAGACCCATTTGAGAGAATCCGTTGTGTACGCTGCGTAAACAGTAAAAGTTACACAATAATCATATATACCGGAATTGTTCTTCTTTAAAAGTTTTATAAAAAAGCCCGCTACAGTTAATGTCTATCTTTTAAGGGTGACCCTCTATTACCGAACTAAATTTTACTGATTTCAGTAAACAAGTCATTGGATACATAGCAGCCAATGTTGTTCATGTCCTAAAAAAAAATCAAATGTGATATTTGCACTGGAGCCCTAATATCACATACAAGTAATAATTTACATAAGTTTATTTTGGTAAAAGATAAAGGTGGCCTGATATATCCGTCTGGTGATGTAATAAAAATATGCGAAAGTGCAGAAACTGTAATACGTCAACATACAGATAATTTGAAAAATGTCCAAAAACAAATTTTTGTCCCAAAAATATTAAAAAGGTTATTGGCACTTCATTATTTGATGACATATCATTTCATCAAGTCGGTGAATTCCCATATTCTAACCACGTAACAGATTTAATGAAAGTGGTAATTGAAGAATACATAGATATCCGTCTACATTTCTTATTGAAAAATAACTTTCAAAAAGAAACAAAGCGTCACTTTTAAATAAATATATATTGTTTCAAGGTCAATAAATAACTATCTGTTTTTTTCTGTATTTTTACTGACTTTGACACGATACAAAAATTACCATACTATCAAGTCAAGTCCAACTCACACTTGGCATATTTAATATCGATAATATTTCATCGACTCAGTGCTCACCTCTAGCGAAAAATCGGTGTGAACGAATGAACGCTCATAGACACGGCTTGTGTGTTGAGAGCGCTGATTCGTTCGGTTGCTTGATGTCGCGTCGTTTGATTGGCTTATTATCTGTTAGCTGGAAGTATAGTGGGGGCGAGCCGGCGACATCGGTTTTCATACTGGCGATCGCTCATCACCCTTCTAACCTCTTTCTGTGTTCTGTGTTGTCAACTGTGTGTCGTCAACCATTTAGGTAAAACGACTTGAGTACCCAATTGAATGACCATAGTGCGTTTAATGTAAAGTTTAAAATCATTTAAGGAAGATTGACGCTTGATTTGATTGGCCGAAGAAAGTAAAATAGTCGGGATGATGGTACTTAGTATAAAAAACGCTCTTATTGCGACAGTTTGATGGTAGCTGTCAATGTTAAAACAATATACACAGCAGGCGGCACGAACAAAACGAAGGAGCACTCGTAAAATCAGTAAATGTTTGTTGTTTTGTTTATTTAATCTTATTATACCTACCTACAGTGATTCACACTTTATCGAAATATGGCACATGTGTTGTTTCGTATTTATATCACAAAACAGGATATGAGGTAATATTTCAAAAATTGCTATGGCTAATGGTTATATAAACCAATGATTTACGAGTATAGTAAACATATTAGAGTTTTCGGTGCGTCAATCAAATAAAGTTGATTATTCATTGTTTATGTAATTAACATAATAGGAACTATTTTGCCGTCTGACCTGTTTATTGACATTCTCAAATTCTATTTATTGTGAGCGTATAATATATTTTTTAATATTATAAGAGGAGTTTAACGGCGCATTGGCCACTGCATAAGATATTCGATTTTCCAGTCATTGAATTTAAAAATCTGTCGAGAATATCCGTTAAGGTTGCATAATTGTTGAGCATGCAAATCACCAAGTTTGCCCGATCGGATGCATCAGTAGTTATTAGGACCCACTAAAATGAGCGCAATGAGCGGTTGAAAAGTCAGGCGTCCAAGCCATCAGTGGACGTCGAGATCTCGTTCGTATAAGCGCTTTTATAAACGTTCTCGAGTTGTATTTATTACCTTGGATCCAGAGGTTGAAGTACAAAGAGAGTTGATGAAAAAAGAGTTGGTGCGCATAGGTTTAATTTCATTCCGAAGCAAGTTAAATATAACAAGCGCTCTCAAAAATTAGTAAATTATACTTTTTTTTTCTTATGAGTGAGAGGTTGTGAGAGTGAGCTGGAAAGAAAATCGCCTTAAAGTCGATTGGCAATGCGAGCGTCAACGTCAATGGAAGGGCCCTGTTGGTCATTTTATGTTACATTTCCTGTAGTTGTCGCGCAAATTATAATTCTCCTACACCTCCGCGACAAAGCGAAATGGCTTTAGTACTAAACGCACAAAAAAATATCGTTCCAAACTTGAATATAGTCCTGTCGTAATGACTGCGTGTCGATAGACGCTAGCTTGACTGGCGATAATTTAACACGCTAAAAGAATATTGTCCAAAATAACATTCCTCCTAACCCATATGAGAACACTGCGTTACAATACCCAATAGTTTGAATTTAGGCGCGAAGGCGCAAAAGCAGGTTTCAGAACACTACCTTACAGGTGGACAACCATTATCACTTAAGGATATGAAAAATAGATAGTAGCCGATTCTCAGACCCACGGAATATGCATATAAAATTTCATAAAAATCGGTCAGTTCGGAGGAGTATGGTAACTAACATTGTGACACGAGAATTTTATATATAAGATTAAAGATTATTGCTGTGTTGGCACAGAACGGCGGCAGTAGACCGCCGTTGGAGGCGGAGAGCGGGGGCAGCAGCGGCGATTCGGTGTTCACGCCGGGCACGGAGCGCCGCCTAGAGAAGCTGCCGGCCATGTTGGGGGCACCAACGCATGACGTGTATCTAGGAGGCGCTTACCCGGTCAGTATTCTTTATCCCTTCTCAAAGCTATAGTGCGATAAGGATCGTTGTGAATGTGGCGAAATTGCTACAAACACCGCCTTCTTTGTAAACATCATATTTTGCACAACATTTACGGTTATTTACGTAGACAGTGGACCTTCCTGAACTGTCACTCAAATTCATAAAGATCCTTGTTGCACTGTAAACAAGTGTTATGACTATTCTCTTTCCCAATACTATGAAATGAAAAAGTTAATGAGAATCAATTAGGGAATTTCGACTAGATTAATGTTTCCCAAATAAAACATTTGGGTTTTAATAATTTATCCAGCAGACATGTCCCTGACAAACTCTTGCATTCTGAACATCGCTTTTATTATTACTCAGTAAATGCCGGGGGCGTTCAAGTAGTTTCAGTCTCCGAACCATTAACAGTACTTAGAACTACTTCTTTTGAAAATCTTATTCAGCCGTATACATTAATTTAAACATTTCGTGCACACAGACGAATAGCACGCGGCCCGAAGAGATACTTCGCCGGGAAGGGCTGACATACGTAATACCTCGGCCCAACGACTACACTCGCATGTTTTCCGCGCCCGCCCGTCGATCAGCGCCTGCGCATCCCGAATCGCCCCGCCACGACAAGAAGCCCCGCCCTTCGCCCCTCCACTCGCCTATAGAAGACGTTCAACTGCGGGACAAACCCGTCGACATAGATCCGGCGGAGAGATTGAGCGCTTCAGATTTCTACACCGTCACTGAGGACTCGACGCCGCAGCCGTTCAAAGGTAAGATATTGATGAAGCCCCGCCTTTTAAATAGCTCCGCCCATCGTCCCTCCATTCGCCTATAGAAGGCATGCAACTGCGGGAGAAACCCGTCGACATAGATCCGAAGGAGTGATTGAGCGCTTCGGATTTCTACACCGTCACTGAGGACTCGACGCTGCAGCCGTTCAAAGATATTGATGAAGCTCCACCTTTGCCAGTGACATTATGTTTCCCGGACGATTTTTCTCACAACTATTATCTTGTTAGCCTTGTTTCTTAGTCTTTGGTCATATAAGTAACATGGTAGCATAGACATAAAAGGTACCACTAAGGTATCTATATTTTTACTCGATGCATTATCGGTCCTCAAGTATCGATGCTTGTTTGATATCAATTGAAAAGCATCGATATTTACTCGTATCGATAAATTTTTCATACTAAGTAAATGAAAACAGTAAAGAGATTTGATATAAAAATATAGCTACAGTACATAATTATTCATTTCTTATGTATGAGTAAGTAGTTGTATTTACTCGTATCGTTTCATTCTATATATCTTAATCGAGTACTATGTTTTTAAGTTCTCTTTGTTTTATCCCGAAGGCTTGTTCGACGAAGACCTGCTGCTCGGTTCCCGCGTGCTAGTGTTCAGTATGAGCGCCGAGTCGCCTTGCTTCGCGGCGATGGTACTGGCCGCCCACTACATGGGGCTGCGTCCTTCCAACACCGTGCTATTGGTGCAACCGATGGACCCCAAACTGGCGCCCAATGTGAGTATACCATTACCAACTACATCAAGAAGATCTGTAGCTCGGTTCCCGCGTGCTGGTGTTCAGTAAAAGCACCGAGTTGCCTTGCTTCTAGATGAGGCTGCGTCCCTCCAAAACTGTGCTATTAGTGCAGCTGATGGACCCCGAACTGGCGCCCAATGTAAGTATACCACCTTCATAACTTCTGAATGGAAATACACTCTTGTTTCTTTAGGTTGTTTTTGTCAATGTCAAGTGATGCTTTAAATTGTATGGTGTAAGCTCATACGTAATTTTCCTATTTAAAATATTAATTGCTATCTATAGCCCTAGACAAAGCTGGTCTCTTCATGATCCAATCAACAACAGTTATTAAACTCCATATAAGTAATTGTAGATAGATGTTTCCTTTACCTGCTGCATAATTGTGTAACCTGAACTCCTACAGTGATCTTTTTTTTTATAAATAGCCAGGTAGGCAAATGCCTCTACCCCACCTGATGTTAAGCGGTGATAAAGTTCAGTTATAAACTGCCACATCAACCATACTCACATTGCCGGCCTGCAAATATGTCATCTCCTGGCAACATTTGAGAATGAGATTAACTTTTGACAGGATCGAAGGGAATAAAGTTAGACAACTAGTCCTGATTTATTCAAAATAGCTTCTAAATAGTTTTTACGAACGAGAAAGAAGCAACCCATCCCGTATGCTTATGAATAAATTTTCATTTACAGCACGTCAAATTATTACAATATAGTAAATATTTGCTTAGTTACCCCACGTATCACTCATATGATTTATATTAATTCCAGTACACGGCTACAGCAATAAAAGATTACAACCGCGGACGGCACTACCTCACAGACTTAGCGCGACGCGCCAGCATACCAGTGTTCGACAACGTCGACTCCACCATGGCCTACGTAGTCAATCGACTGCGAGCCCTATAGCCATAGCTCTGCTTCTACCAACTTATCGACGACTAAGGGCCGATTTCTTAAATCTCGGATAAAACTTTCTACCGAATAAAATTATAAAAAATGTCTACCATCACATCATAAATAAACACGAATGAAAAATAAACACAACTCTTTATTTTGTCCGTTAAATAGGATATCACAAGAATAGTTTATAAAACAGGGATTGAAAAATCAGCCCTCAGTCGCGAGCTTGCTCCGAGCGATTGGGATTTCATATACCTATAACCAGCATCATTAAAAATTAATCGGAAATCGACGTAAGATATTCTGTCCCTCTGCCATATCTTGTTGGAAATAATGTGCGAGAGGGAGAGTTTACCTTGCTTCATATTCACTTAATAGTCTTAAAAAATATTCAATTTTCAATCAATCGGAGCTCGGGAGTTAATGGCGTTTGGCGATTGCAGACAAAGCAAGTACCGCCTTAACTTGAACTTGTAACTTACAAAACGCTCTACAATGGTCACTTTGGACAGTTCAAGTATTCACTTAGTCAAATCACAACGGAATCTCACTTATTATTTAATTGTTCTTTCCGAAGCTCGGTTGTGCAGAAGCGATCCAATCACAAACTCAATAAAGTCATCACAAATGATAATGGACTTGTTTTGTTAGCGCGGCGAAGAGTCTCATAAAGCATGTACTTATTATAATTTCAAGGCGTTTAGTTTAGTACAAAGAATGTCTCTCTCTTATATTCATCACTCTCTACTGTAATATATAATTAATTATCTAACGTTATTTAGACACTAAATTTTAATTCAACTAGAATGAATGCGAGTGAATGGTGATGGCGGCGAATGATTCGTGAGTGACGGACGAGGATATAACAAATCTCTGTGATGAATTTGTTTAGGAAATTTTAATATTTGTGATTTTTTCAATGCATAGCTCTTAGGTTTTAATAAACGTAAACGAGTGTACGACGACCTTATGAAAACTGCGTTAGTGAAATAGGTAACTAAAACTCTATTCAATAACTAGTGTCAGTGGAGAAAATTTACGGACTCAATGTTAGATATATATTGTTGTTTGTAAATACAATGACTTCTATGTATAAATAATTCCGGAAGAGGTTGAATATTGTATTTGAAATTGTCAACGTACCATGCAGGCGACATGTTTTAAAGTAAAAAAAAAACAGTTTTATTTACTTTTTAGCACATTTTGAAAAATAATCCATTATGCTGTAATATCAGAATAACTGATTGACATTGCAAATATGAATTAAGTGATTTTCGTTTTATCGTTAAGGAATAGATTTTAGTAGAAATTTTATGTCAAATTGTGCACATTTTCATGAGGTTTTTGTACATATTTAGTATTGTTACACAGGCCGGTCCGTGTAGCAGTATAACAATATTTAAACGGAATCCTCAACATGACAAATGCACACGTATCTCACATTTAGTTCAAATGCTCAGAACGTTGAGGAACTTATAATACAAAAGAAGTAAACTATTGTGTTCATAAAAATATGGTGTTGTACAAAATATAATTATCTAATTATGGCCTGTGACTTATTAAAATCATTTGTATTTAAATATAACCTCAATACATCTTTAAACAAGGGAATAAATACATTGTTTGAGCAGCACCACCGTAGCTGTGAGATTCAATCGAAAACGAATCAACAAAACATTACTTTTCTTTCCTGCCCCATTAACTGTCAAACTCCATAGTAGTTTGACAGTTAATGCCGATATATCGCTTTATCATATCCCGTTTCGGTGGTCATGCTAGAGGGGCTGGGTAAAGTAACTTTATTATTTTGTTCATCGCATATAGAAGATTAATTCAATCATGGTCAATTCTATTGCTATTGCTTCGATGCGCTGATATGTAGCAGAGTCGAAGCGCATCGAAGCAAATTTTAGAAATGTAAAAGCAAATACACCATTATTTCCGTAACGTAATGGACATATTCCTTTTGATATAAAAAGAAGACGTGCGAATTCCGCTCAAAAGGAGTATGTGATTTACGTTGCAGAGATAAGGGTGAATTTGCTATGTTACTGTTTCTAAAATTCGCTTCGACTTTGCCGCTAGTATGAATTGACCATTACTTACTTTGATCTAGATAATTGTTTGTAATATTGTCCAATATAAGTATACGATTTGTATTTTAATGATGTATCATTATGCAAGTTTTGGCATTTGAACTAGATACGAAGATTTATAAATGGTCAAGTTCACTGACTATGAATAATTTAATTTTAGGCGATGTCGTACATGCATTCGAGTGTATGTTCAGTGGGTCATCTCTTAGGACATGTTATTTGTATCTTGTGGCATTGTTTTTGTTCGTATGTTTACAACAACACTATTGAGGTATTTCGTTTTGTATACAAAATTTAATTCACATTTGTGTCAGAAAAAGTCAAACTATGATTTTGCTTGAAAAATAAAAGAAAATATGATTTTAATGATGTGTTTAAAAAGCTGTTACTCGTTTTTACAATGATCACAATTTTATTATAAATTATTGTTAATTTATAAATATAAAATAATAGTTTTGCCCAAATGAAAACGTGAAATCATGCGGGCACTTCACTTGACTATTCGTGTTTGCTTTTTGTAAACTTGACAACAAGTCGGTCCTTTTCATTCCTTATAAAGCATGATAAGGACAGACTGATTTCAAGTTTACAGATAGCAAATAGGAATAGCCCAGTGAAGTGGCATCAAGTTGACTTTTGTATTTGAAATGCTTAGGAATGTGAATCAAAACTTGTATGCAACAGCACTCTACAAATAGACGAGAATAAAGTACAAATGTATTGCTCATGTAGCAAATTTAGGAATACGTCGTATGTTACATGTTATTATGCAATTATTAATAATACAAAAGTCCTGTACTCATGCGTTGTTAAAGTTTAAGAATTCGAAATAAGTAGGTAGTCCTTTAATGCAAAATGAAAATCTCTAACGCTTGCAAATTTAACTCAAAAAGATTGTCGTCAGGCTTGTGAAGCCTCGATTCCATACCTATTGTAGGTATATATAATTTGTAGATAATATTAGATAATTCTAGTTTAAATATTTGACCCACTGTCTTATTATGAATTGTTTAATTTTTTTGTTCATTTAATCAGCAAATACTATTTGCTAGTCACGCTACACGTTAACATGTACGAGTACTTTGTAACATTGTTTGATAGTACAAATATCTAATTTATAAAAAAAAAACATATATATTATCAAATGTAATTTTATGCCATGTACGCTTATTTTAAACTAAAATCATCACATATGTAAATAGAGAAATTTGTAATTATTGATGTGTTTTCATTAATTCCCTTCAACATTATGATTAGGTTCTTTACAGTTCGAGTTTGAGAAAAGAAATGCTGGTAATTTTCTACAGTTAGGGAGGTGCTATATGGTCGTTGCGACTGCGCTGCTTCAACGGAGCTATAGAGGAAATCGTTCTCGTACTAATCAAAATCACTATCTTCCATAATAATTTTGAAAAAAACTTAAATGTGCAAGAACTGTCACCTCGATGTGCTATTAATCACTGCGCTGGCGCTCCCTCGATATCCAATAAATAGGTACTGCGCTGGCGAGCTACCTTCCCCACCTCGTCTCCATTCCTCCTTGTGAGTTGCGCGGGTACTGGCTATTTATTTTGACAGTATGAAATATAAAGTACCATATGTTGGCATCTGTATTCAATATAAATATAAGAAGCGGTTTGAATATTCTATGAGAACAAATAATTAATAAAACATTAAATAGAAATGATTTTTTTCCATGGTCACTTGACCGAAAACGCCTGGGATTGGCGAAGACTAAAATGACGTCACACACTAGTAAACTTCCCCGTCAAAGTGACATTACATTTTATCGTTTGACGTTTAAATGACAGTTGTGAGACGTCTCATACTCGTGAGACGCCATAATGTCCATAGAAACGTTTACGCGTCAAGTTCAAAATGGAATTTATGATTGTTTTTTTTACTGAAATGCACAAGAGAATGACTAATATCCACTTTTTGGACTCTATAAACATACCGTATTTACTAAAAATACCGTTAGATCGTGTTCTAAAACTTTTCAAACACCCTATTGCGTCATCATCCGCCATTTCAACGCATAGTGTGGAAAATCGTTCAGATTGATATGTAGAACAACGGATTCACTGCTCAGTGACGCAGCGCTAACGCAACGCCACTGTGCTACCTTCCTTATTTATTAATTTTGAATATTATGTGAAACGGGTTTTGAGTCAAAAACTATTGGAAAACCATTACAGATTAAAAATAATAGCATATTTGTGGTTTTGGCATGATTCTCTAAATTAGAAAAACACATCAGTCTCTTCTTTTCATCTGTATAGAGAATGACAGTCTCTTCTTTTCATTCTGTATAGACAATGACAAGGTTACCCTGTTGTCAAATTGAAGTTAAGAATTGGAGAACCGACACCAATGTCTACTGTCAAAATATTATTTCTTATCTGTTAGTGTTTTGTGTATTTAACGGAACTCCTAAACAGCTGGACCGATTTTGATATAATTTTTCGTTTTCTGGATGGAGAAACAGTAAAATATTCCTTTCTTTCCATTGACAACTTGCTATTGATAAAAGAACAGGCGCGTTAATCGCCCTAGTTAAATAGGACCTCGGACCTTCGATCAACAGTAGGTGTGACGACAGGGTACAATAAACGAAATTCTATTTAGTCCGTCAGTTCGATGATCAAAAAATAATGGACACGTATTTTTTCTTTGGGCAATCAACCAAAAAATGACAAAGTTATAGCGCGTCAAAGTTTGGGAGTAGGGGCTCGAAACGTCACTTTTTAGTGAATTTTCTCTTAAAAGTGTACCAAAACGTGACGTCATGCGACTTTTCAAATCCATATATCTCTGCAATGTTTATATTTTGTGAAAAAAGAAAAAATATGTGTCCAATACTTTTTGATAATCTACGTGATAAACGAAGAAAAAAAAATATCATCCCTATTCTCTAGATAACGGGTTACATACAAAATCAAAGCTAAAAACTGTCCCAGTGTTTAAACATTTGCAGCTACATACGATTCACAATGAACAAAGATAAATGTTTTTAAACAGTAAGTTAAACCTAATAAGAACTATCTCACAAAGGAATAAGGCTACAAATAACTATAATAAATGTTATTACGTTACGCATATAATTTATATCTGATACTTGAAAAAAAAACGATAAAGGTAAAATAAAGAGAAATGTGAAATCAGCCTTATGACCGACAAAATAGAATATTTTAACCAGTCATTTGTTATGTCGAGTTACTTCGTTTCGTATTAACCGAACTAATTTAAAATAAGATTTCACGCCTCAAGTGACGCTATATTTACCGAGACGGATTCTACGCGTTGACACATTATCTATTGAATTGTTGATCGAAGCTTTGGGCACACAGTGGTATACCATGGTATTACCATTCCAGTAGGACTATAGGAAGCAACCCCGGCTTCTTGATCTACTTTCCTGGTCTGAGCCGCGATGCAAATTATCTTTTTTCGATCTAATCTTCCCATTCTTGACGAGTTTTAGGAATATGGTAGAAACTTAGTAGCAAGGTCCATCAAAACCAATAAAATTTTGAAAGTTGTCTAAGAGATAAATGTTCGGGAACCTCTTGTTTAGATTAAAATGAAAGCATAAGTTGATTTATGGTATAATATTAATTTCATAAGAAAACAAATTATATACATAATTTAATTTCCCTTACTAGCTATAAGAGGCATTAGAAAATTGTCATCTTTTGTTTGTCCTTTCTATTACTTTGCTCTCTACTTATTTGCTTTTCTTTATTTTTGAGTGCACTTAGTTCTTTATTCTTCTCTATTATTTGCATAGTAATACTTCTGTGGCCTTCAGATCCAGCGGAATATTTCGATAAAGAGCTGTTCAGTTTGATAAGTTCTCTTTCTATTCTCTTCAAATCTTCTGTTATTTTGAATTGTTCAATGTTGAGGTCTTTGCTAGACGATTTCTTCAGAGAAACTGAAGATGCAGAAGCCTCTTGCTCTTCCGGAGTGTCTCCCAATGTTCTGTTCAAGAAGTTGAAAACGTTTCTTCTCTCTCTTTCTTTCTCCCTTTCGTAAGCGCGCTTGTTTCTCTCTTCCTCCTTCTTTTGCATTCTCTTGAGTTTTTGTTCGACCTGAGGACACGTTTATTGAGTCATGTGAATTAGTTAAATATTACAATCACACTAATATTATAAAGGCGAATGTTTGTGAGTTTGAATGTTTGTTACTTCTTCACGTCTAAACGGCTGGAGCGATTTGAATAAAAGGACATGGCTAAGAAACTGCCCTTAAAGTGTATAAATATTTCGCACTAGCCCGTAACTTTACAATATTTTTTTATTAATTATTATGTGTTTATTATTCTCATACAACTTTCATGAAATAATCAGATATTTAAAAGTATAAAAATTGACTACATGTCTGTTTCAAAAGCAAAAAGTTCCGTTTGACAAAATTAATGACGAATAAATGCACACAAAAAATATTTGTGTAAGTATATCGAAATTAACAATATTATTTCTAAACTCCTTCAAACTATGACAATATAATGAATATATTTGGCCCTAATTTTTATTATAACAAATCACTGAAGGCCTAAAATAATAGATTTTATTATTCTGATCAGGCTTGAGACAAGGCTGTATGATAATTAATCCTTTAATTTTTGTAAATGGACAAAATAAAACTTCACAGATTTCCTGTCAGGCCTATGATAACAAATTATTTGTATTTATTTTTGCTTAAAAAAATGGTTGCCTGTAAAGTCGGTTTTACGGGCGAAGATTTTACGTGACAACGTCTTTTTCTCGGTAGAATATTTATTGATATGAATATAATTAAATTGCACAATAGGAACAAGGAATTGAATGAAAATAAGAATTGCACAAATTTTAACTATAGAAATATATTTTGTTTACTAAAACATTGTACATGTAAACTTAAACTTAACACGAGAGACTCATCGTAACGTTACCGAGCGTTACACTTTTTCATAAGTGACTCCCAGCCGCAACCTAATTTAAGACGTTGTCACGTCAAAAACTTTTTGTGAAGAGTTAATCAGAGAAATGGGAAGAAAGATTCTAAGAAAATTCGACATTGATGACTCTGTAAATAATTGGCAACATCTTGTATCAACTGTAGTAAGGTACACATAGTAGTATAGTCCAGTCGGAATAGCCATAATTTGGACCGAATTCTATTCTAAGACACCAGCGCTTAGCCAATTTTTTCCTAGGTAGTATAGACCCCCACGAATATGCCCTCCATTTGTCCCCGCTAGAACCCGTATTTTGTAGCCAGGAAAATTGTTTAAACAAAGAAAAACCTTTTTTGAGTTTTTTTGCTTGTAAACGGGGATTTTGAAAATTTTTTGAAACAAAGTTGTTCATTAGCTTGCCCTCTACAAAATCAGTTCTATGAAAAAATAACGTGAGATTGTTAGTTTAGCAGTAAATTGCAATTATGTCGGTTTTACGTTTGCAACAATTCAACATGTTATAATAAACATTTTGATTTCTAAAGTAGTTTATCATGTGGGTAAAGCCACTCCCAAGAGAGTCATGTAAAATTTATCGACCTGTGTCGCAAACTTTAGCAACAATTCTCAATCTCCGAAAAAAAAGTACTTGCCTGTCCCGTCTTTCCCAGAAGGCGCACAGCGGGAAAAAAAAATTCAGGTGATTCGATTCACCAAGAATTTTGAGGAATCGATCGAGTAGAAAAAAATCGTTAATAAAAATGTTCGTTTTTGGACGATTTAATTTTTTTTTAAACTAATGTATTTTTCTCTCCTCAACTCGAATATACTATTCTGAATATATATAATATATATATATATATATATAATATTTATATATATATATATAATATATATAATACTTAATATACCCTGAGAATTCCGATTATGAACCGGAAGAAAAAAGGACGAAATTAATATAATTAGAAATATAGAATACAACGCAGTCTTGTAATCGAATTTTAGTTAATAGTTTTGTAAATAATTTCTGTACATAAATAAACTGAATTTTTAAAATTTTCAATCGTATATTCGAGTTGAGGAGAGAAAAATACATTAGTTTAAAAAAAAATATATTCTACGTCAATTTTTTAAAAAAAATTAAATTGTCCAAAAACGAACATTTTTATTAACGATTTTTTTCTACTCCATCGATTCCTCAAAATTCTTGGTGAATCGAATCACCTGAATTTTTTTCCCCGCTGTGCGCCTTCTGGGAAAGACGGGACAGGCAAGTACTTTTTTTTCGGAGATTGAGAATTGTTGCTAAAGTTTGCGACACAGGTCGATAAATTTTACATGACTCTCTTGGGAGTGACGTTACCCACATGATAAACTACTTTAGAAATCAAAATGTTTATTATAACATGTTGAATAGGGAAGATGCATATATAATATTTATGAAAATTTTATGATTAAAATGTTAAAAAAATATAAAAGAAATTGCCACTGCAACGTTTTTATTTTATATAATGTTGTTTTTTAACAATTATTACGAATTAAAAATACTTGAAACGGAACGTATTTTAATACACCAATCAGCGTTTAGTGACGTCACTCCTGTTATGACAACTTCTTTGAGGTTATGGTTGTTAAAGTAAATATTATTTTATGGGAATATTTATTGCGTTTTTTTACAAGCGTTGACATGGTTATAACTTTTTTTGTCCCAAGTGCAGAGTTTTTAAGTGTAGAAATGAAAGGGACTAAATTACTACGGTATGTAAAAATCGTAGTTGTTAAACTTTGTATTTTATTCAGCGGCTTCTACAAATCTTACGGCGATAATGCACTCGGCTATGTCCAAATTAAAAGAGATGGAAAATTATGTACAGTAAAAGGTCGAGTTCTCCGGAGCATAAAGTACGTAAAGAAGGTTATCGTGTTACAGTTATTTTAAATAAAACGCAAAGCTTGGTTCAGTCCTGCCAATGTGAAGATTGTGCCACACATTTTAAACTTTATCTAATTTTCGACGTCATTCTCCAACTGTAAAATTAAAAATATGTTATAGACAGGTTTTGTAAGTATTAGGTAGGTTACTAATGCGTTTTTACGTACAAGCAGATTAATTAAGCATATAACAAGTATATTCGCCGACTTACGTCAAAGTGATCTTCTCAGCATCGAATAATGGTCTTTGGAGAATAATTGTCATTTCTCTTCGCAGCTTGAAACCACTGTTTTTCAGTTTTGGGTCAGAAGTTCCAGTCAAAAACAATTCATTTGGGAACTTTGTTGAAGTAGATTGGCACAAAACATGAGTCAACACGGCTTTTTTTCGGAATATTAGTGGTATTGTTATGATCACACGATGTTGATGGATAGTCCATTTTAAATTTTTCAAATAAATATTTCGTAAGTCGAAAAAATATGCAAAAGTATGAAAATTTAAAGCCAGCAACGAACAATTACGACCAGTGACAGACAGGAGTGACGTCATCGCAACCATAGGTTCGTTTTCGCGCGAAAATTTAAATTGTCAATTTAAAACCGCATTTTTTCCGATAAATCACAATGTTTTAATTTTTTGATATATCTGTGGTTTATTCTACATGGAATTCTTTAAAATGAAAACAAAAATAAAAATATTGCATCTTCCCTATTGTTGCAAACGTAAAACCGACATAATTGCAATTTACTGCTAAACTAACAATCTCACGTTATTTTTTCATAGAACTGATTTTGTAGAGGGCAAGCTAATGAACAACTTTGATTCAAAAAAATTTTCAAAATCCCCGTTTACAATCAAAAATACTCAAAAAAACCGGTTTTTCTTTGTTTAAACAATTTTCCTGGCTACAAAACACGGGTTCTAGCGGGGACAAATGGAGGGCATATTCGTGGGGGTCTATACTATCTAGGAAAAAATTGGCTAAGCGCTGGTGTCTTAGAATAGGTCTCATGTTTATTCCGACTGGACTAGTAGGAGTTTTTATAATTTTCAAGATTGTGACTTTATCAAAAGTTCCTGAGCCTTTTTTAATAGAAATTATAAATATTCAGCCATTTACCATTAAATATTAGTAAGTACAGTATTTATACATTGCCAGGGCAGTTACTCATACAAAACTTTACCATGTCCTTTGGTATGGAGTTAGCTGACACCCTGGATTAACACATAGGCTACGTTTTACTGCGGGAAAATATTCCTAACAAACCGCGGGTAACACCGCGGGGCACAGCTATTTGAATATAATGGTAGTAGTAATAGTTTAACTATAGGAATGTTCAGAATTAAACTCAGTCGGGTAAAAAGGGGTTGTATGTGCTATCCAATTCTCAGTAAATACCTCCATACAATGAGCAGCAAGGCCTCAAGGTAAATATGGATGGAGCAGCAGGTGAAACTGCTCTATCATCGCGACTCAACTAAATCGCCACTTTAAATCAGGTGGTCATTTATTCGGGGCATTGCTTTGAGTATCTATAACGAGAGACGCCATTACAGGCATTTCCCTCTTAAGTCAGGTCAGCTGTCTACATCGAGTGTCTTTTATAACCTCGGTAATTGGTATAGTTGAATTACAACTTTAAAATAACTTTTAAATATCTAATTAACATGTAAATACCATCACACGAGGCCTTAGATTTTATTTAGTTGCAACGTGATTATTATCGTGTCGCAAAAAGAATTACGATTACGTTAAACTCGCGAACATTAATTGTTAATGGGTGTTACAATATAAATATACGTATAATTTGTATTTGAGTCTTGAAACAACTTCAAAATAAAAGTTGTGGTATCAAAGTGTAAGGTTTTAAAAGACAGATTTAGTTTTTTTTATTTGAATATATCAAATGATACATCGCATGTCAAGTCGTTTAGGCTGTAGGGCGTGCCAAAGAAACGGACATACATACACTCGAAAAACGTAACCCTCCGCAATCGAGTAAAAATAAGATTTCGCCATCTTAGATCTCACAATTATTGTCGTATTCGTAATCAGCACTCTCAAAAACAATAAATACAATGTACATATTATTATTGAAAGTCGAATCGGCGTCGAGACTGCGGCACGACCCGTCGTCACCCGGCACGTATCCCATAGCCAGCATCAGCTTAGACCCGGTACCCTAACGTGACGACACAAAGTACGTATCATTTTACCTTGAGCGGGTCCATCGCGGCCTTCTGCTCGGTGTGCATTAAGCAGGCGTCGAGACTGCGTCAATAACCCGGCACGTATCCCATAGCCAGCATAACCTAGACCCGATACCCTTTCTTTTTTTTGTGACGAGGGGAAATGCAGTTACGCACCATACCGTGACGCTGACTAGGCGCACGGCGTGTGTGGGACTCGCCGGCATGGGAAACAGTGCCGACCCTACTCAAGCAGGACGAGTGCGGAAGACCACACTGATCCTACTCCACTAAAACTCCCCGGTACCCTCCTACGCCCTTATGGGGGCGTCTCGGGGCCGGCGCGATACCCTAACATGACTACACAAAGTACGTATTGTTTTACCTTGAGCGGATCCATCGCGGCGTTGTGCTCGGTGTCCAGTAAGCAGGCGTCGAGACTGCGCCCGTCACCCGGCACGTATCCCATAGCCAGCATGAACTTGGAACCGATACCCTAACATGAAGACACAAAGTACGTATTGTTTTACCTAGAGCGGATCCATCGCGTCCTTCTGCTCGGTGTCCAGTAAGCAGGCGTCGAGACTGCGCCCGTCACCTGGCACGTATTCCATAACCAGCATCAGCTTAGACCCGATACTTTTTTTTGTCAGGAAAATGCGTGACGCATACCCCGCCACCTGGGAGTGGCAACGGGGTTATGTGGGACTACTCCCGACCCATCCTGCCCTTCCGCTCAGCTAGTTCTGGGACTGACTGAGCGACCGCCCACGAGGGGGGGGGCCATCCACTAAAAACCTGACGATGCCCCTCACCTCACTCGGTCCACGGTTCCAACCAGCGCGGTTGAGACAACGATACTAGATGAGGCCACGGGAACCCTTACGGAATCTTCCGTGACTTCACAAGACCCGATACCCTATCGTGGCGACACAAAGTACGTATCGCTTTACCTTGAGCGGATCCATCGCGGCCTTCTGCTCGGTCTCCAGTAAGCATACGTCGACATTGCGCGCGGGGCCGGCTTGGGCCTCCACGGGAGTGACGCGGCCTTCTCCCGTCGCCTCTAACCCCGCGCCCGGCACGTAGCCCATAGCCAGCATCAGCTTAGACCCGATACCCTAACGTGACGACACAAAGTACGAATCGTTTTACCTTGAGTGGATCCATCCCGGCCTTCTGCTCGGTCTCCAGTAAGCATGCGTCGAGACTGCGCGCGGGGCCGGCGTGGGCCTCCACGGGAGCGACACGGCCTTCCCCCGTCGCCCCTAACCCCGCGCCCGGCACGTAACCCATAGCCAGCATCAGCTTAGACCCGATACCCTAACGTGGCAATACAAGATACGTTACCGCAGCGATCATAAAAGATTGCGTATAAGAAAGAAAGCATAATTTTTGTATGTACACTCGCGGAAAGACCCGCTCTGTTACCCATAATGCCATAATCGCTTGCGGTAGCGGCGTAGTAAAAATTCATTCATAGACATGTAATTATCGCTGTCTTACTTTTTCGTATAGCGCTATCGCGATCACGATGCGGATGACAAATTGCAACCAAAACAAATGCAATTCAATTCATTATTCAATCAATGAAATGCTCTCTGTCTTACTTTTGTGCGGCGGCCCGGATTAGTGCGTCCGACGCGAAGGCGGGGCGTAGTAAAACCGTTCAAAGCATTTTGTTCGCCAAGTGACAGAGCGCAAAATTCCGCGATAGTACCTGCGCCTAGCATACTCACCATGGAATTCCGGTATATCAAAAATGACAAAAAAATATTCTCAAGTAGTGAAATCGACTAAAACTAAAATGGACTCGACTGTACCAAATGTCAATGTACTCAATGTACAAGTTTGTTATCAAATTTAATGACCTATTAGGGCGAAATTCAGACAATAATTGCTCTCACTGAGGGCAATATTTCGGGAAATATTAATTGACTTGTTCTGTTTTCGTGCAATCAAGTGAGTATGCTAAGCGTGGAACCTACGTCCAGCATACTCACTGAACAAGGCGTATATATCTGGAAATATTAAACCACCGAATTTAATTTTTTGACAATATTCGGGCACTATTTTTTGACATATGAATTATAGTTATAACTTACATAGATTTATAACACGGAGTTGAAGCTGGGCGTAGGTAACGAACAGCATACATACCATACTATGTCTAACTTTTTAAGTATAAGAGCACATTTTTTACCTTTGGGCACTATTTGGCTCTATTTGAGAACATTTTTTTGGCTTTCCAAAATACCGAAATTCTTTGGCGTAGGTTCACGCTTTTGTCACATTGAGATTGCCTGTGTGTTACATTAAGGTTACGTTACAGCCGTTTAAAAAAAAATCTTAAACCATGTTGTCTAAATCAACAGTAGTTAATTTAAAACAGTGGTTCTTAACCGATGTTCCCTGGAGGCACCTGCCTCAACCTATTAGGCATCTTGTTAACGGCCATTGTTTCACCGTTATAATTGTCTTTGTCCAGCTACGCATCGATGAAAAGGGACAACTATATCGCATCGTCCCGGTGCCAAAACAACAAAAACAACGACAAGAGGCCTTTATGTCCCCACTGCTGGGCACAGGCCTTCCCTGTTGACTGAATAGGAGAGATTGGAGCCATCACTAGGGCCCAGTGCAGATTAGTAAATGTTAAGGACTGCAGACGCAACCGGGACCAACTGTTTAACGTGCCTTTCGTAGCTCGGAGGAGCTCGAGACAAAAAAATGAACAAACGCGTTACCAGCTCGTGCACTGTGCTATGCTGTATAGAGTAAACTTACTCCTCTTCCTTAGCTTCATTAATGAGGAAACAAAACGGGCTATTTTATGCGTTGTATAGCTTGCAGCTATGATGCGCGTGATACTACGCACAGCTATATTACACACATTATGTGGGTTACCTATATACAGTGGTTGTCATATAATTAAGAGCGCTTAATAATGCAAAGCCTATGTTTTGTACATAATTTCAGTGCATGGTTGGTTTCTAAACATACTCTGTTAGTGTTGTAGAATATTCTAATGACCAATCTGCATTATTCATGTAATAGTTTTATCTAAAAAATGTAAGTATCTTCCTTCTTATTTGTCTACTTCTTAAATTATAGTAACTCAAAAAGTTGCCGGAATACTGACTGGAAAAATAGTTAAGAACGAAAACATTTTGTTGTTTTTTTCATCATTTTGATAATGGATTTTTAATTACTTTTTTTATTGCATTTTTACGATTTTATTGTTAGAATATACGTTTTCTGCATTTTTTTAATAAAATAGATAAAAATAAATCTTGCAACTCTACTGCTAGAGAAATAATAATAAAGCTATGTGCTCGTAATTGGTAGTATAAAAAAATTGCAGATCACTTGCATTGTTCAAAAAAAATGGACAACTATCACAACATCGCGCTTAATACCTGTAAATTAAATTAAATAAAATGCAACGCGAAAGTATAAAATTTCAAATTGTAGTAGCTATGCGTCTTTATTAAGTAGTGATTCGGTCAATATGACAGTATTTTAATTTACAAATTAAAATGAAAAGTTTACTCTGCGGCGCCCATTTGCTGATTTTAATAGGAACAGCTAATAAAATTAATATACTTTTGTACCTTGTTGGAAAGCTTATGAAACTAGTTTGTCATTTTACTAATTTGTATGCCAAATTCCGTCCAGTTACTTTTCAATAATTTACGGCGAAGTTCGGAAACAAAAAATATTGATACTAAGGTAATTTTATTTTTGAGATTGTATAAGAATTGGGCAAGCGCTTGTTCTTGAAAAATCACAAATATTTCAGCTTTCAGAAAAGTATCAATTCAATGTTTAAAGTGAAGTAGTTTATTCACAATTATTGGGATTTTGTAGCAAGTCAGAAAAAATCTAAAAAATTGAAGAACCATCACAACACGGTAACCATCAAGTTTTTACATCTATAGCTTGACCGCCGTAAACTCGACCCTCCCGATGGTCCGCGGGACGCGGGAGGGGAACGCGCTCGACCAATCAATCAGTGTCCTGTCGAATGCCGACAGCGATAGACGTTCACCGTCAGACCTCGCGCGGTTGCAGCCTTGTGTCCGCTACACATGACATTATTTTACGTCTTTGCGTGCAACAAACATGGAATATGAATATGTAAAGAACAGACTGGGTAGATCAGACTTAAATACAAATTTGAATATAAAAACAGAGAAACTACAACAAATACTTGCTGAATATTCGACGACTCAATGGAAAGGATGTGTGGATCACGTAATAAAAATTGAAAACCAGTACCTTGAAAAAGACCGGATAGTCGATCAAAATTACGATGACATGTGATGGCCTTTCATAATTCAACTGTCAGAAGAAACGTTATCCGAATCTTCCTCAGACTCAGAATCAGAACAGGATTCAGATGAAGAAATATGATTGAAAATTTAATCTCCTTTTTATCTTTACTAATACTACGTCGATATATTTTAAAAAGATTAAGTGAATGTTTCTTACATTTAAACCTCAAATTGTAAAACCTTTAATTGTAAAAAACTATTGAGATATACCTAGTTATAATAAAATAAATAGTAATTTAATTTTAATATAATGTAATATATTATAGTATAAGAATAAAAAATATTACAAATTCAAGGTCCATTATTTATGATTAACAAATTATTACACGAATAAATTCATAATACTAATACAAAAACTAACACATCTGAAATAACAACACGAAGATATATATTGATCTTGAGATATCTCGTCGCGTCGGCAATACCGTGTGTACCCGTGCGCACCCGCCGCCCCGCGTCCCGCGGACCATCGGGAAGGTCGAGTTTACGGCGGTCAAGCTATAGTTCACTGTACTTAATTTGTTACTAATGACCTCTAGTATAACCCCTTTCAAGGAATAGGTCAAGTTTTCCTATCACCCTGTATATAAAGCCTAAATAGTTTCAAACACATTAATAACAACATTAATCTGTATTTTTTTGGCGAATTCCCCTATTGTTTAGCTTGATAGCAATTATATATTATCATAGTATAGTACAAATTCGCTCATACTGTCTGTACACTTATATCTTTTAAACTATGCAACAGGTTCAATGCAGTTTTTAGTATTAAGAACAAAAGATATAATCTAACAAAGCAAAGTAAGGGCGGGTCATAATTAAAATTAATTCTGGGTAAGGAGCAATACATACTTACTCTTGTGTGACGTTCCCACTCTCCCATTGCTGGTATGTTTCCCATCAAACTTTTTTCTATGAGTAGCGCTCGACCTTCGTTCTCAACGTTGGAACGCAACGATTTGCTTTCTGGGTATTCTGTGTCGCTTATACAGTCATCTGAATCACTAGAATCGTCACTATCAGCTGAGGAATAATTTAACGGAATTATTAAAATTTATGTTATATCGGTAGGTTTTTAAATTATGACATCAAAAATTCTGGAAGTCGTATTTTTGAGACAATCATACTCGTCGTTAAATATAATATTTTGTTTTGTGGCAAATGGTCGAAAATCATGTATTTGAGGTTTATAGAACTAAGAGTTAGTGGATTTTGCATATAACTTACCATTCAGTGGAAAGATCTCTTCAAGCTTAACAAATATTTCTTCAGATCCAGACTTTCTCTTTTCTCCTGTTTTCACGCCATGCTCTAACTTGGCTAAACATGTCTTTTTATCTAAATCTAGACTCTTCACTACAGCTCTGTGCCATAAATGATATTTTTCAGATGTCTTTTTGGTTAAACTTATATCCTGAAATAATATATAGTTTCATTTTATGTATTCGTTTTTTAACAAAAAAATAGAAATAGAATTTTAACTGTAAATTTTAAATGTAATGCTTGAAACAGGAACAGGAAATATTTATTTCTTAGTAAAATCTTAACCAACAAAAAGTACAGAAATATTTTCATTTTTACTGCTTCAATGTATTATACAAGGACAAAAATGTACTCATATAATTACCTCTCCATCTGGAGGTTTCAGTTTTAACAATATTCTACTTCCAATTTTTATTGTTTCAAAATTTGGATCAATAGCATCTTTTAAATCCGACAAAGGTACAACGTGTCCATGTGAATATCTGAAATCAGTATATAATATTACAGCAGTTCAATTCAAAGGAAGTAAAAATTAGGGCGCTGATATTATGCTCTCTCTCTTTCTTTTATTTGTGTAATAAATGGAACATAAAGTACACAAAGTTTTGAATTTGTCATAATCAATAAAAGGACATAATAATTGAAATGGCAAAAATTGTCTAAGTAATTAATTGATTTTAAACTTAATAACAACGATAATAAATACCCTAGATACACCACGTATGCTCAAAATGTGTCAAAATTAAGAAGTGCTTGAATACTACTCAAGCACTTCTTGGTTCACAGTCACGCGCCGACCGTTGTAAAGTCAAGTTGCCGCAGAGCTCCGTGAAAAAATGCGATAAAATATTTATAGTATGTAAAGTGAGTTTTTTTCGACAGGTATTTAATCAATGTTTGTTAATTTAACACATTCGAAGCAAATTTTGTTGTGTAATACTTACTATGAACTGATTTAATAGAAAATATTTGTGATATTCATATGTATGGTCTGTAATATAGCCGTCTATTTTTCTAATAGCGCATTCAAAATTGCGCGCAAAGTCAAAGAAATAAGGTCTATATTAGACTTGCAACGAATAGTATATTCGGCAGTATATCGAATATTCAGCGAGTGTTATGTACCAATGACTACTTAAATGATTATATAACAGAAATGAAAATCTAATATATAAAATTCTCGTGTCGCGGTGTTTGTGGTTAAACTCCTCCGAAACGGCTCGGCTCGATTTTCGTGAAATTTTATATGCATATTCAGTAGGTCTGAGAATCGGACATCTATTTTTCATCCCCCTAAATGTTAAGGGTAATCCACCCCTATTTTTTTTTCAATTTATGATATTTTTATTTTTTATGATACATCATACAAAAATAAATATAACCCAAAATTTTCGCCCTTCTACCACCAACCCCTATTTTTTTATGGCGGTACGAATTTCGCTGGGTCAGCTAGTATGAATATATACGTAATCAATCAATTTTAATTTTTCATTTTACCAATTATTTCTCTATGACAAAATATATTATCTAAGTATTCGGTATTCGGCCGAATAATATGTAGATATTCGGTATTCAGCCGAATATTCGTTGCAAGTTGCAAGTCTAGTCTATATTCTTCCGCATATAGCCAATCGTAAAATTTTACGAGCTTGCATTTCGAACTGTCATAACTCTTTGACACATCCGTTTTAATTTAGACCTTATACAGTATGCATCAAAGCTGACTTTCAATGTTTAAATATTGCCTTACACTCATATTGATTTTGACTACCCGCTCATATCACGGAGCGCCGTAGATCGTCCAATGTACTTTTTGGACAGGTTTTGGGCACGATATTGTTCGTGTTGGTGTATCTAGGGTAGTTAATCTCTTTGCTTTATAACCACTGATTTAGTATATTTTTAATTTTCAGCATTTACATATCTACAAATCCCGTCTGATGCTTGGACCTCCTGAATTCCTTTCTAGTAAAACTTTATTTAGATTTCAATGTTGTTTAAACTTTATTCCAAAACAATTTGTATGACTTGAAGAGCTGCTGTGCGACAGCTCAATAGGTTATCGTAAGACCTTGTTGAGACGACAGGTGCACGCTTTGAAATTTGTTGCGTACAATTTGAGTCTTAGTTGTGATACATCAATAATCCCAAATTCCATTTACCGTGCGGGCCGCAAGGCGTATCAGTGTAGTGCGCGATTATACTTTGATAGTAAGAATTTGGGATTGATATATTCCTTCTAAGACAAACAGAAGACGTTGCGCGTGCCCAACGCTGAATATTAGCTCAGAAGGATAATATGTGCATTACATTGCAGAGATAAGAGTGTATTTACTATGTTACGTTTCTGAATGACGCTTCGATGCGCTGTCACTCTGCACTAGTATGAACTGGCCATTATTGATTTTTTGTAATGCGCTTGCTCGTGTCATCTGAACAAGGCCTAAAACTGTTAATTGCTCTGAAATCTAAAATCGGATTGTGTTAAAAATTTATTCGAGTTACAAACTCACCTACATTTTTCATCCTCAAATCTGCATTCTCCATCGAGATAGAAGGGGCAAGGCAACATTTCTGCGTGAGTTGGGTGTGTGAATAGTATTCGCACCTGTAACAATCATCTATATACAGTGGAGCCCCGGTAATCCGGCCCCTGGCTCATTAGCCAGGTGCCGCATTACATACAAGTATTCGCTAATTCACGATTGAACAAGTTACAACTTGTACGCACCATCACTATTGTACTCGACGCGTAGGGTATTGTTTTTATATATTTTTTTGTAAATTCTATAGCATTAATGACGTTACTTTTATAATAAAACGTAATCTTTCTATTGTGTTGTTTAATTTACTAAATTTGACATACATAACAAAGTATGATTTGTAATCTTATCATTGGATCTGTAATTTGTCGGATTACAAGGTACTCTTTTGTAAAAAAAAACGGACTATAGGGGGTCTTAGGAAGTACTCTATAATCCGACAAATTCGATAGTTCGACACTGCCCTGCAAAATTTTTGTCGGACTACCGGGGATCCACTGTATAAAAAAAATAATCATCAAAAGGTATGTATGGTCATCACTTCCTAAGGATTAAACTAAATTGGATATTTTTTTATAGTCTTTGTTATTGTCAAGACAAGGTTTTTATAAAAGAAAAACATTTAAACACGCAGAAAAATTAATACAGAAAATATTATTAAATACCTACATAGTAGAAAAAAAATGCGCCCGTACCCTTCGCTATCTGGGCGAATACACTGACCATTATGCTACCACGGCCCTGATCGCCGTGTCGAATTCTTTCTAGCCTTTCTAAAGCTGCAAAGCAGCACCATCTCTTCGCATTGTAGATAACCCACAATGTGAAATGAATACCTTTACAAGTATTAAACATTTGAAGGAAGAAATAGCAAATATTGTTATAATTTTTATTTTATTTTTTTAAGAATGTAACTGCTCGATATTTATATCTACAGAAAATATTACTAGAAAAAGAATATTTAAACATTGAGTTACATGCTTGAAATTTATACCTACATTAAGTTTGTTACTCCACCATCTTCCACAACAACTAAAGTCATTTAGCATTTATATAAGCCACCTTGGGCTTAATATAAGGTAGACAAAGTAATTATACTTTGCTAATTTGATTGAAAATTGTTTAATCAGCACTTCTTCATTTAAAAATAGTACCTAGCTATATATAATTTACAATTATACAATTGACGACAATGTATGAAACAAATCATGGAGAAAAAAAGATTTACGAACCATGAAAAGAACCTACTAACCTAGGACTACCTTGTTGAGTTTCCTGCCGGTTCTTTTCAGTACAAGGTCTAGATTTACGAACCGATGGTGTAGTGTTTGACTTTCAGAAGAGCTTGTAACAGCCTAGACTGAATAAATGAGTTTGAATTTATTACTGATAAAAATATGAATAATATTATGATTTTTTTAAAGCAATATTCTTGTGGAATGTTATTTTATTCTGAGCCGTAATACATTGCATTACACACCTGTAAGTCTTGAAATTGATCATTATCTTGATGTGGCACCACCTCGCTCACCATCGCATTGTGGAGACTAGGCTGACCACCCCATTTATGTGTGTGATACACGGCACATTTCATGCCTAAAAGCGTTGATAGTTCATCCTGCAATGAAATATTTTGATGAATAATGGTAAGCTTATGCAGGTGTTATTTGCTAACTGCAATATTTCTTAATGTGATGTGTTTTAATATTTTTGCATTCCTTTAAGTTGCTTTGATGCAAGTAATTATGGAGTTATAGGCTCCACCCATGACTTTGTCTGTATTATTGCTAGTTTTTTGAGAATGCCACCGTCTCAATCCAGTTAATAAACTACATGTATGCTAAATGTCATCCAAATCTGTTTTTGCATGATTCAGTTACAAACATACAAACTTTTGATGAGTATTATATGCAAGTATATAACATTAAAATGTAATGTAGGGGGGTAATGGGGGAGAACGGATTTAACATCTTTCCGGCCCCAACTGTCAACCTCACCTGCACGCGCGGACAACATACATCATCCGCGGCGGTATTTATATACCGCGGTCCCCCTGCTAGATAACAGACGAGGCAATGGCGACCGAGCAGTGGCGGTATAACCACACTCCTGACCAGAGATCAGAAGAGGCCACAGGGGCCTTGGGGTACAAATAACCTCTAAAATAACTAGTGCAGAAGGCAACGGGAAACCACTGCAACTAATCTTCCGAGAAAATCGTTATGAAAGTAGGCACAGAGAGATCACAATTGCCATGCGAACCGCCTAGCGAGCGGCGCCGCGCCGCGTCCGGGGCTTGCGGTGAGAAATGGACTACCGGCCATGTTAGAGTAGGAGACCAGGCTCCGCAGGGAAAAAATGCTACTGGAAACTCCATCAAGTTGCGAAAAATCCAGAAGATAGGCACGTGGAATGTTCGCAGCTTGTTAAAACCCGGTAAATTTAACATCGTAGAGAGGGAAGTCACCAGATGTGATTTATGCATTTGTGGACTATCTGAAACCCCACTGGAGAGGCAACGGGCATTTCCTTACCGACACCAATACAGTCAGTACATTTCCGGCACTGACGACAGTAGCCAAAACGGAGTAGCAATACTTATTCCTAAGCGTCTAAATAACAGTGTGATAGGGTATGAGGCAGTTAGCGACCGCATCATATCCATGAAGCTTAAAGCGTCACCTGTAAATTTGAACCTGATACAGGCATATGCTCCCACCAGTGAAGCTTTACCCACCATCCTGGAGAGTTTTTACAGGGAACTACAAACAACGATTGCCAAAATCCCCAGCAGAGAGCTACTTATAATCATCGGTGATTTTAATTCGAAAATTGGTGCAAACTCTGCCCAGTATAGTAAATGTGTGGGAAACTTCGGACTTGGAGTACGCAATGGAAGAGGTGAAAGATTTATGCAGTTCGCAGACGAAAACAGCTTGGTGGTGGCAAACAGTCTATTCCAACACCATACACGTAGACTGTTCACCTGGACCTCACCTGGAGGTAAGGCCAAAAACCAGATCGACTACATACTAATTAGATCACGCTGGCGCACCTCCATTCTCAACGCTCACACGCTTCCTGGGGCCGATTGTGGTTCCGACCATGAACTCGTTATCGCAAAGATACGGTTGAAACTCAAAGCCCGATCCTCCAAGAAAATAAGACGGATTGAAGTAACAGATAACGAGAAGCTCAATGCAGCCTTTGAGCGGAAATGGAAGGAATGGAGAGATGCGAACCACAATGAAGCTACACCAGACATGCTATGGAATAAAGCTAAACATCTCATCCAAAGTGCAGTGGCGGAGTCTAATCCAAGATCAGAAACCCGCAAACGTCAACATTGGATGACGGATAGTACTCTTGCTCTAATCGAGGAGAGGCGCCTTAAGAAAGCTGCAGGAACAGACATAAGGGAGTTGAATAAGATGTCTGCTAACATCCAAGCCTGCTGCAGGAGAGACCACAACTGCCATCTTCATAGCATTTGTGAAGAGGTTGAAAAACACGCTCTAAAGCACGAGTCTCGAGATCTATACCACAAAATTCGTCTTATTACCAAATCTCTACCGGCTAGAACCTGGGCCATTGAGAACGACAGAAATGAAGTGGTAACAGAGCTCGAACAAATCTCCGAAACGTGGAAGAACTACTGTCAATCATTATTCCGAGACCCGCAGTCACGACAGTTTGCAAGTACAGACCCAGAACGGGAGAATTTGGAACCAGACATTCTACTGTCCGAAGTAAGAGCTGCCATAAAACACCTAAAAATGTAAAAAAGCAACTGGTAGAGATTAGTGATGTAACGAATGTCATTTTTTGAACATTCGCGAATGCGAATGCGAATGTCTGGTACCGACATTCGCGAATGCGAATATTATTTTTTTAAATTGGCGCCAACTGTCTATGGCATGGTGGCAGTCTCGTTCAAATTGCCGAGTTGATATGAACTCATCCGACTGAAGTGTCATTCCGCTCGCACCGGTCTTTCCGTAAACAAAACAAGTGAATTTTGAGGTTAGTGATTGTGAGTGGTAATAGTGATTTATTAACATGAGTAAATCGAATTCTAGTGAAACATGGACTTATTTCACACTTTGCGATGTTGAACGAGCTAAATGCAAACTGTGTAACAATGAATATTCAAGGAAAGGCAGAACTACAACTTCTGCAAATTGTTTTTTTCTAATATTCATATTCGCAAAACATTCGCAGAGATTTTGCGAATGCGAATATGAATGCGAATATTCAAAAATATGCGAATGCGAATATTCGTTACATCACTAGTAGAGATGCAATTCCGATAGAGACAATCAAAGCCTTAGGAGATCGTGGCGACCAGATGTTTCATCTTATTTGCAACAAGGTATGGCAGACAGGAGTTTGGCCTACTGAATGGACACACACGGTTTTCACACCCTTGCACAAAAAAGGTTCGACAAAGAAATGTAACAATTACCGCCTCATTGCTCTAATATTACACGCTAGCAAAATAATGTTGCATATTCTCAACGAGCGACTGAAAACCTACCTTTCTAAGGAGATCGCTCCGGAACAAGCCGGTTTTGTGAAGGGGAAAGGCACTCGGGAACAAATTCTCATCGTACGTCAGATCATCGAGAAGTCGAGAGAATTCAATAAGCCCTTAATCATTTGCTTTGTTGATTTCTCCAAAGCATTCGATTCGGTGAAATGGCCGGTATTATGGAAGATCTTGCTAGATATGGGCACACCAAAACATCTTATTCATCTTTTAAGACGCCTATATGAAGAAGGCACAGCCTCAGTGCGCACAGATGATGTCTTTTCAGGTGATTTCCAACCTAGTGCCGGAGTACGCCAGGGATGCATAATATCCCCGCTCTTATTCAACGCCTACACAGAGCTGATAATGCGCATCACTTTGAGCACTGGACGGACGGAGTAACAATTGGTGGATACAAGATTGCGAACTTGCGTTATGCGGATGACACCACCTTATTTGCAACCAGTTCACAACACTTGGATGAGCTACTGTCAAAGATGGAGCGAATGAGTGAGTTTGGACTTAAAATTAATCGCAGCAAGACCAAGGTAATGATTGTTGACCGTGCCAGAAATAATTCGCCTGAAGTGACACAAATCGCGAATTGCACTGTAGTCCAATCTTATATCTATCTTGGGGCTCTGATTTCAAACAATGGCGGATGCATCGATGAAATCAAACGACGTATGGGCATCACAAGAACAGCGATGGACAAGATGCGGAAAATATGGAGGAATAGACACATTACTAAAGCCATAAAGACCAAGCTTGTGAGGTCACTTATATTCCCCATATTTCTTTACGCGTCTGAGATGTGGACTTTGCGAGATGTGGAAAGGCAGAAAGTGGACGCTTTGGAAATGTGGTGCTGGAGAAGAATGCTTGGGGTTTCGTGGACCGAGTTTCGCACGAACATCTCAATACCACAAGAACTCGGTATCAGGCAGCGTCTATTTTCGACAGTACAATCTCGCATCCTAACATTCTTCAGACACGTTTCTCGGCATAACAACCTATCCATAGAACGCCTTGTAGTCCAAGGAAAGGTGGAAGGTACTAGACCGCGCGGAAGGTCACCCATGCGATGGACTGACCAGATCAAGTCAGCCGTTAGAGGTTCACTAACACGTGCAGCAGGATGACCTCTAGCAGGCAGCAATGGCCAAACATAGTGAAGCGCATCTCATCTGCCCCCTCCAATAATACTACAAGTTCATAGCAATCACGTCAAGAACATTAAAATGTAAACGGTTATAAATTCTCCCTCTCTCTCAAAAAATAACAAACATGTTAAACCTACCTCAATATCACTGTCACCACCATTTTCTATTTCAGCTTCACTTATCTGTGATTCAGTTTTACTTGGTTCATATGCACCACTCTTAGCCATTTCTTGCTGTGAAAGAGAGAAAGAAAGTTCTATATAGACTGAAAAGGACTGCTGACAAATTTAGTTTTAGGTTTAGAAAGCATGCCAAATTCAGGCCCAATATTGCTTCTACAGCCACAGACTAGAATGAATGATGAAGTATATTTTCAATATTTTTAATCTGTCCATTCTGAAGTGAAAAACACAACGGTAATATTGTTATAACAATTGACTTAAGAGTTACAATTACATGAATACTGTTATAGAGATATTGTGAGCAAAGTAGACAGCCTCATGGTACCTACACTTCCTACTATTGCAGAAACACAGGTAAAACTGTACTTCTAGGGCCCAAAAGGTGATACTTGTTTTTTTTTGTAGAAAAGGTCTTTTTAAGTTTTTTTTTCTGGCGCTTCGCCGGCCGCTACCTCGGCACGCTCGCTTTGCTCGCTCGGCTCGCGCGTTATGGTCACAACAATACCCTTACCTAACCTAGTGTAAAGTATCACCACTTGATAAGAAAAGTAAAAATTTTCAGTATTTTTTTCTAAAAAACTACCAGTGCATAAGTGTGACATTTTTTTAAATAATGTGGTTAACAGAAACCTTTTTAACAACAAAAATGCGAAATTAAAACCAACAAAACTGTGAAGTTTTTACTTTTGGGCCCTGGAAGTACAGTATATCCGAAACACAAACCCAGAAATAATATTATTCGATATTCTGTGAAATTATTTTTCTCTTCTTTCTTTGAATTTGTTTGAAATAAGACACATAGTAGTCACTAAAAAAGGAGATTTCTGATAATTACCATGAACAAATCATATTCTTCGTCCAATCCATCGGTATTATTAGTTTTACCGTCTTCTTTAGATTCGGCTGTACTACTTGAGGCTCCTTCATTTACTGATACAGCATCCAAATTTTCTTGAGTAAGTTGTATGAGTTCTGTCAATTCAGACTGTAGAGCTAATAATGACTCACGCTGGTCATTGTCCGATACTGCTGATAACGCTTCATTGACTATGGAGAGCTAAAAATAGTAATTTTGAATACTACCATGATTAATAAAAGTGCTAACTCAACTTTCATGAACCATAAGCACAATACGTACTTGGTCTCTGTACTGATTAATGGACATTTTTAAATCATCCATATTCTTATTTTAATTGAATGGTTTTGAACATAAAAATTGTTTTATCTACAGAAATATTCTGAAAGAAAATTACAAATGCAAAATCCACGACCCTCAGTATCACTATCAACCTTCTTTTTTTTTTACAGGCAATGTTGCCGTTAGGACAATCTGGTTTGTGGCTACATTTATTAAAAAAGTGGCCAGTTTAAAGAAAAACACCCGTTCGAAATGTTGCCAGAAATGGCTAAATATCATAGTATTCTTTGCCTTCTTTAATATTCTATTACTATTGGTAAATATAATATTAATATTATACATGGTTATAATAAGTGGGTTTAATTAAAACAGAACGGAATTATTTCGGTAAAATACTTTGTATCAAATTTTTAGCGTCCAATAAATTGCTCTCGGGAGTTATTAATAGGTACTTTCATTCTCACAACTTGAGGAAGACACACTCATTGTCTATAAAACCAAATAAAATCCGAATTTTGATTTAACAGTAAAGCACGAATGCAGAATTAATTTTATACATTTTTTTGAATTGAATTAGTTTATTATACAGTCTGTGAATTGTTATGAAAATGTTCGTGATTGATCTCTTTGGTGATTGGAATTTTTATTTTTACTAACAGTATCCACATTTTTAATTCAATCACTCTTAGTAACTAGGGGTTTTAACGCTATTTATATATATATATTTAGTCCATGTAAACGTAGAACGAATTAGCTCTTTTCGAATAGATATGATGAAAAATTTCTTATTAGCTGACAGAACCAGAAGTAGCTAAAAGTAGCTAGATTCGTTTTGGTGGCTAAACTAGATTATTTTTTGGCTAAAAGCTTTAAGAATCGGCTAGATCTAGCCACAAAGTGGCTTAAACGGCAACACTGTTTACAGGACAATCTGTCAGTCACTTTTTTTTTGTAAATTTGTCCCTGTTAGAACGGGCAAAGGATTCTGAGTCCATACAGCCCTAACTCACTTTTTTTATATATAATTTATTCATGACCATGGATACAAATCCTTCAGTCGTATACGTAAATACAAATCTCAATCTTCTTTTTTTTACATTAGAATGTCAGTTTGACGCATTCTATTGTTTCTTGGAGTGTTTGGCACAAAATGTATCGAGTTGGGTTTTTCGATAAGCTTCTGTGAGGTGGTCAACACTACAATAAAGTTCTCGCTTCCACTTGATCGGAATAGAGTATATTTTAAAGATTCTAATTCACTATTCACTAATTCTTCAGTTGCGCAGATGGTTGTAACACAAAATCACAACAATTTTATTTCACAATATCCACTATGAACGAATTTAAGAATAATTAAGTTAAGACGCCAACCAAAATCGATGAAATCCCGCCAAAAACTCCCATTGTCACTTTAAGTCAATCAAAGCATAGATAAAAAGAAAATAAAAGGCTCTATGGGTATCGTTACTCTTGCCTTTCTTAAAAGGAGAGAACTAAAAAAAGAAGTAACTTTTTTTGTAATGTTCTTCTATTACTAGGACAAAGGAGTCTTTAAAATCTCGTCTTTATTTTAATAATTTTACTTTATTTCCTTTCTAACGAAACGAAATGTAACAAGTCAGATTTCTCTATAATTTTCTGTGAGGTATTCAACACTGCAATGTAGTTCTCACGTCCGCTTGGCCGAAATAACTCATATTTAATATTATTTAGACAGTTAACACAAAATCACACACTTGTATCGAATGTAACGAACTAGCAAATAGATAAAATTTATATATCGGTGGTTACAGCCTTAGACTTTTATATCATGAAAGATAACATGATAAACATTAAAAATCTGTTTCGTTTTGCTACATTTCAAAGTTCATCAAAATTATTTCAGCAGTTTAGGTGCGAAATTATATAGACATACATTTTCGATTTTATAGTTTTGGAATTGATAGGGGATAAGGAGGCACCTTAGCACAGGGGCAGATTTGAACATGTTGATTTCTGAACGTAACTTTATGTTAATTTATGCCGTAACTACATTTTAATATTGGGAAAAAAGCGCGGGAAACGTTTAACTTGGTAGACGCGTTTTATGGTGAAAACTTTATAATTAATTTTTCGATCAGACGGGTACATTTTGTAAATATTAATTATTATTTAATATATTGTGTACATATTTGGATCATTGGTAAGTCCTCTTACTAATTTTTTACCGTCATGAACGATCCCCCCGATGACCCGGGGGGATTCGTCCCCCCGGCAGGTAATTTTGTCACTGTGCAGTCGGAATCAGGAATGGATACTGATGCATCCACCTCCAATAGGACATTAAAGCGGAGTCACCGCTCAAATATTATTTGTAAACACTGCAACAAAAAAAGAAGGAGACATGGTAACTCTGAAGCTAAAATAAATAGTTGTTTATGTACATCTGAATCAGATTTTACTCCTCCACCAGTTCCATTACCCATGCCAGAGTCTTCAAATCCCACTACAAATATAACTGCTAATACAACAAATGAAGAGTTTACCTTCATCTACCCGAATTGGCCGGAAAAATTACTGTGAGGCTGACGTAGCTCCTTTTATTCTTAACATCCAAAAAATATTAACATCCCCTGATGATAAATTCACGATTCACCCTGTGAAGTTTGGCAATTTTTTGAAGAAAAATAGATTCCCAAATATTGTTTACGGAAGTGTCAAGAAAGTAGGTCGCAATAAAATTGCTATTGGTTTTACTAATTATAAAGATTGCAATTCCTTTCTAAATAACAAGTCCCTTGAGGAGAACAAATTTAAAGCATTTATACCTACATTTAATGTAACACGAATGGGATTGGTAAGAGGTGTTCCAGCTGAGTGGTCTCCTGAAGAGGCTAATATATCTGTGCCTGTAGTATGTGCTAATATAATCAAAGTCCGAAGAATGAATTTCAAAACTTTTGTTGAAGGCAATCCCGCATGGAAGCCATCTCAGACAGTCATTATTACATTTGATGGACAAGTCCTTCCAATTCTCGTCCTTCCTTATTGGAGACGGAGCTCTCAGCCTCTGGTGTGAGACTCCCCGCACGCTGGAGTGGTTAAAAAAGACCGTAGCTGGCCTCAAGGTCCCGGGGTATGATGACGAACTGATGGTGCAGCGCCAAATTGATAGGCCGAAGAAGGTGGTGTGTGGTCTTCTTGTCCCGGGTACGAGGGAACCACATACGATAGCCAAGCTGCTGCGCTATCAGAATAAACAAGCAGACGTCGACCGATGGTTACTGCATAAGACCATCGCAGGTGATGACAACACGTTCCTGGTGTTCAGCACCACCAAGGATGTTGCATAGAAGCTTCTGGAGAGAGGAAGGAGACTGTGCTACCTGATGGGTTCGGTGTACGTTAGGTTCAGGAACCAGGGCGGTCAATACCTGGAGAGCCTGCCGCCTTTAGAGCCACCAACATCTGCTCCGTCGCCGAGCACATCAGGGGGCATAGCAGCATCCACGCCCAACCAGAAGCAGGTGACAGTGACTCCGTCTCCGGCGGATCCCACTTTGCTTTGGGTGAGCAAGGAGCAGCGGATGTCATCGACGAATGGGCAGACAAACTGGGTGGAATCGACATCGGGCAGGAGGTGGATGACGATGTTTTGCTTGCGTCCGATGGCGCCTCCACCGAGTAAAGTCAAAGTCCTGCAGACTAACCTCCAGCACAGTCGCACCGCAACGGCTCAACTCAGGAACTGGCTGGAGGACAACAACGACGGGGCTATTGCTCTGGTCCAGGAGCCGTGGATCAGATCCAACATCATATGTGGCCTCAACAACACCGGTGGTAAGAATTTTTACAACCCAGGTAACCGCGCACCGCGGACCTGCATAGTATGTTCAAAACACCTACAGGCACAAATAATGACACAATTTTGTTCTAGCGACATAACAACAATCCAAATAATACAACAGCAAAATCCAAGTGTACCTGGCCTGGTAGTTGCCTCTGCCTACATGCCTGAAGGAGAGGAAACTCCGTCAGGGGAACTGGCTGAGCTGGTGAGACACTGCGAACAAACAGACAGGCGCTGATCATCGGCACCGACTCCAACGCCCACCATCAATTGTGGGGTATGACGAAAAGCAACAAACGAGGTGAGGAATTAGTAGATTACCTATTTACCACTAACCTTAATATAATAAACACAGGATCTGATTCTACTTTTGTAACAAGAAGAGGCAGATCCATCATCGACCTTACACTTGCATCAAGGAGAGCAGCGGAACTGATCTCTGAATGGCACGTGTCCCCAGAGGCATCCTGCTCTGACCGCAGGTGGATTAGGTTCAACATCGCGGTACAGCGTGTTACCCAGCCACCCACACGCATACCTAGCAAAACAAACAGAAGCCAGTATCGCAAACAGGTAACTCGGTCATTGCGACATATGCAGTCTGAAAGTTTGGACGAAACTGATAAGATAGACGAAACAGCTGAGGAATTAACAACTCTTGTTAATTCTTCAGCTGTTTCGTCTCATGCTATCAGACAGCCTGTCCTCTTAGTACGCCATCATCCAGCTCGGATGCCAGCAAGTCTTGGTAGGGTCCCGAGCTGGATAAACTGAGAAAAAAGGTAAGAAGACTTTTTAACAGGGCCATGAATACATGTGACGACCAGGATTGGGACGCGTACAAAGATGCCAAGGCACTTTACAAAAGACGCATTGACGACACTGGAGCAATGGGTCTTGGAGAAAATTTTGTTCAGAAATAGACTCATGCACAAAGGCAAACAAGGTAAGGAAACTACTATCTAAAGACAAGCAGCAAGACCTAGCGCAGCTTCGGAAGGCTGATGGCTCCCTCACAGAAACAACTGAGGAGGCACAGAGGGTACTACTTGAAACTCACTTCCCGGGCTGCTAGATACACACGACACATACTTGGAATGACACTAGCTGGACCCCCACGGAACAATCCTGGAACACTGCATTAAGACAGTGTCTACAGACAAGTTAAGGTGGGCCATTAACAGCTTCCAGCCATTCAAGGCAGCCGGACCAGATGGCATCTTTCCGGCGCTGCTCCAATGGGCAGGTGAAGCGCTTATCCTTATCCTGGTGCCCCTCCTGAGAGCGTGTCTTGCATTTAGATACACGCCGAAGCTCTGGAGGGAGGTCAAGGT